GACTGGTCAATTTAAAACTTAGGAGTATCTTGATTAGGTATTCCTCCACTCTGTTTAAAGCTTACAAGGGTTTAAGGATTTCTGACTCCAACGTATCTGTCAGAATTTTGATAAAAGTGAAGCGTGGCTTGGGTCATAAAAACTTCACTCTTTTTACGTTATGGCATGCACAAACTGCCAAGTATTGAATTCACAAAGGCTTCTTTAGTCATTCTTTCATGTAACTTTTTCGAAGAAACCTTCGACGCTGTGTCTTCCTGTTTCTGCTGTAAGCGTGGGAAGACGCTAACTCTTACACACAAGAATGGACCTATGTCTCCCTACACTAGTTCATTGCATCTCATTGTGAACAATTAAGATTTGAAATTAATAAATTAATTTCCCTTAAATCGGTTGCATGGCAGTGGAATGGTTACACAAACCACCTAAACCAAGGTGTGAGGCATCATGCTCAGGGCTGCATGGCATTGGGGTGGTAATTAGCCAGTGTCTTGAACAATCCCCTCAGGTCACCAGGCAGCACCCCGTTGTATTTATGCCTTCCACCTGTATGGGGCGCTGCGGTTGGCGACCTTTTAAATCCCCAAAACTCGTGGGACCAAAATGAAAGGAACCAAAAACAAAACCAGTCGTAAGGGCCTTAAACTGCAGAGGGACCCCCCCTCAAGGGGATCCCTACGAGAAATGCTTCAGCAGGGGGCTGGAAGCTCTGGTGAACCACTAAGGGACCCAGGTGCAGCCAGCGAACCTGCTGTTAAATTTTCAAACCAGTGGTTCAGACCCTACCTGAGGCAAAACCAAAAACTCTATTGGGAGTCAGTAGTACTGACATACCACTACAGGGGGCTAGTACCTCTAGCATGCCTGCAGTAGGAGAAGGATTGGGACACCTAGTCGCTGTAGTAGGTGGACTCCATCTAGTAAAAAAAGTCTTGTCTGGATTCGCCAGATGGAAGTTGAAAAAGGCAAGAGCTGGGGGCAGAACTCTTAGTTCCACACCTAAGCCGCATATATAGAGCCTGCATGGCATATGGTTTTATCCCCATGGCATGGAGGCATGGAGCCTATCGTCTTTCCTTTTGAAAACGATGGAGAAAATAGTGGATAGGCATATCAGGGATGGGTCGTTGAGGACTTATCCTCCATACCGAAACCAGCATGCCTACCAAACAGGTAAATCTATCGAAAGCGCACGACATAATGTGGTAACATGCATAGAAAGTGCGATTGAACACAAGGATATTGCCTTAAGAGCATTCCTTGACATAGTGGGAGCTTTCGATGGAACCTCATTTGATATAATCAAACAGGCCGCTGGAAAGCATGGCACAGAGCCTGCAATATGCAGGTGGATCAGTGCTTTGCTGGAAAACAGAACCATAGCTGCCACACTATCAGGAGAGACCCTGGGGATGTCTGCATCTAGGGGATGTCCGCAGGGGGGTGTGCTCTCGCCTCTGTTGTGGAGCCTGGTTGTTGACGATCTCCTGTGGGGACTTAATGATGATAGGTATTACACAGTAGGATATTCTGATTACATAGCAATGCTCATAAACGGAAAATTCCTTTCGACAGTATCAGAGTATCTTTAAACAGCTCTGTACATGGTCCAACGATGGTGTGAAAGAACAAGCCTTTCCATCAATCCCAATAAGAAGGTAATTATACCGTTTTCCAGGAAGAGAAATATAAAGGGCCTTAAGGAACCGACCCTCTTCAATAAGACGATCCAGCTCTCCAGCGATGTCAAGTACCTTGGTCTAGTATTAGACAAGGGACTGATATGGAAAAAGCAGCTGGATAAGGTCCTCAACAAAGCCTATAAGGCTTTCTGGACATGCAGAAGCATGTTTGGCAAAACTTGGGGACTGCAGCCGCATGTTGTGCATTGGATATATCCTGCGGTTGTAAGACACATAATTACATACGGTGCCACAGTATGGTGGCCCAGAGTTAAACTCAAGACAAGCAAGGCAGAACTTAGCAAATTGCAAAGGTTGGCTTGCTTGGGTATCACAGGAGCAATTCGAACATCTCCAACAGCTGCACTGGAGACACTCCTTGGACTCCCTCCACTGCATATACAGTTGGAGGCATAGGCCAGGGCAGGAATCTAGCGTCTCCAGTGCAGTGATCAATGGAAACCTAAATCTGATAGTTTCGGACACGCATACATAACTCAGGACGTGAAAAAAGAACCCATATTACAAATGGGGTCTGACAAAATGATACTGAGACATGCATATGAAAAACCATTCACAGTCAGATTTCCTGACAGGAATGAATGGGAAGATGAGTTTCGGTGCGATAAAAAAGGGGGACTGATCTGGTATACAGATGGTTCCAAGATACAAGGTGGTTCAAATATGACTGGGACAGATTTCTTTTTAAAAACCATAATTGCCAGACACTTGCTTGCACATGTCAGTCTTCAACATACTCCCCTCCAGAGTCAACACATTTTTTCCAACGTTCTGGAAGCATCCTGATGCCCTTTTTAAAAAAGGCTTGTGGTTGGCGGCGTATCCACTCCCGAACAGTCTGGATGACTGCGTCGTCCACAAACCTCATGCCTTGCAAGTCTGATTTGGGCCTTCCGAACAGGTAGAAATCACTTGGGGCCAAATCGGACTATATGGCAGATGTGTCAAAAGGTACCATTTCAATTTCTGGATGGTCTCCATTGTTGTTTTGGCCGTATGGGGGCGTGCATTGTCTTGAAGGAAGGCTACCCGCTTTCCACCTGTCCTCCGCTTGGGTGAGAACTTTTTCTTCATGTCTGTTGCCAGAAGGTCTGAGTAATAAGCCACATTGACTGTTCTGGCATCTGTCAGAAAGTCTACGTGGATAACCCCCTGCTGGTCCCAGAAGAATGTTGCCATCACTTTTCCTGCTGAATGGCTCCTCTGCGCGCTCTTTGGTTTTGGAGAACTGGTATGCCTCCACTCGCGTGATGACTGCTGGGACTCAGGAATGAAGTAGTGCACCCATGATTCATCGGTGGTCACTATAGACTATAGACTTCGTCTTCAAACTGCTGTAGGAGACGACTGGCAGCTTGCATGCACACCATTTTGTTCACATCTGTCAAAGTGTGCGGTACCCACTGTGCATTCACCTTGCGATAGTGCAGGTGGTATTTCATGATGTCTTCTACACTACCAACACTGACGGACAGCATTACTCCAAGTTCCTTGACAGTGATGTGCCTATTCTCACAAATAAGCGCGTCTGCATGATCAATGTTTGGCTCTGTGATGGATGTTCGTGGCCAACGATCATGTAGTTTATTCTCAATGCGCTCTCTGCCCTCTCTGAAGCACTTACACCACTCAAACACATGGGTCTGTGAGAGACACTCTTCCCCATACTGTTGTTGGAGTCTGTGGTGAATTTCAGCAGATGGGACGTTTTCTCCGAGGAATTTGATCACAATGCGTTGTTCCATGCTCTGCGGTACCTTCTGTTCACTCATCACTCTAGCAACTCCCAGACAGGACTGAACATTTTCTAACCCAAACAGGAGGGAGGGTGGAGGTTGTGGCTTCACTTTCTCAAGGTCGCACATCTGCTGCGCAGTGCAGCTTGTTTAAACACAAATCAGTCCCAGTCATATTTGAACCACTTTGTAAATAAAGGCACTGGAGCTGGTGTGTTCTGCTATGGCATGAGGCGGAAACTTAGTTTCAGCCTTGGGCACCACACAACAGTATTCCAGGCAGAAGTATATGTCATTAAGGGATGTATTATGGAGAATCTAGATAGGAACTACAGAAACAGAGAACATCTACATTCTATCTGACAGCCAAGCTGCACTTAAAGCGCTTAACAAACACCAGATCAATTCAAAATTGGTCTGGGATTGCCACCAAACTCTCATGAAACTGGCCAAACATAACAGGGTACAACTGATATGGGTGCCGAGGCATGAGGGTATTGCTGGAAATGAAATAGCAGACCAATTGGCCAAGATTGGAGCTGAACATCCGTGCATAGGACCTGAACCAACCTGTGGCATCTCTATAGGAGTCGCAAGAATGACAATCAGAGAGTGGACAAATATGAATCACAAGAAATACTGGGGATCCTTAAAGGGACTCATACGAGGACCCTCTACTAAAAGAGCAAAGGAACTGTTGAAGTTAAAACAGGAACCAGCTAAGATGGGTGGTAGGACTACTTACAGGACACTGTCACCTCAAAGGAAACCTCATCAAATTGGGACAAAGTAACAGTCCAACTAGTGAGAAGGGTCAAGAAGAAAACAAAACAGCCACACATATCCTGTGTGAATGTGAGGCCTTAGCTTATTTAAGATTGCGCCACTTGGGTCAATATTTTATGGAACCAAGTGACTATTTTGACGTGCTCACATACAAAATCCTATGCTTCATTCGAAGTGCAGGATTGTTGAGGGGATACTCAGAAGGGGAGGCACAACAGATCAATGTGGTAGCAGTGCAAGGGCCAAGAAGGCCCACCCCTTATACATTCATTCATTCATACAGGATTACTTCAGTATTGACAAGTTACTCCTGGGCTAAGTACTCTCTAGGATATGAACAGAACTTTTTGTAAGAATTCAATTACAAAACTTTTTCTCTAAGAATGCCATCTTCTGGGATTTGGTGCCATTATTGTATAAACCAACATTTGGGAGGACTGTATTGCCTCCATCTTAGTTTGCAGCCACCTGCTTATGCTGGTTTCTGACTCACAGATTTTTTCTTTTTTTCTACTACCCTGAAGATGGAGGCGATACGTTCCTCCACAACGTTGGTTTACACAATAACTACGCAGTGTCAAATCCCAGAAGATGGCATTCTTCATTGTCACCACTGTGAAGACCTCAAATCTTACATTGTTTCTCTAAGTTCACTATACAAGTGATATTGAAACTAAGTTGCATTTAGCAATAATTTTTATCAGCATGTGCTTCTAATATCCAGACAGACATCTTTTAAAGTTTCTTAAGTAAACTGTGCTTACGCAGGACATACATCTTCAGAAGTGAGGCTTTGTACATCATCTTCATCTGTTGACAGGTCTTCCTCCGGAAGAAGATAATTTATTTGATCTTCAAGCATATAGTACTTGTGTAGGCTCATTCTGCATTCATCTGCACTGAAGCCTTGCACAGATGATGGAGGCACACTGTAAATAATCAGATATTAAATAATACTTAAGACATCAGTAATTTCAAGTTATGTAAAGCTATGCATTCACATGGCTAAACAAAATCAGTTCCCAATGTTTGAAATCACTGAGAATTTTCTGCCCCATAAAATGAATGAAAATTTCTGGGGCCGAAAACTAAACATCATTAAAAGCAGAAGGCAACAAAATTGAGAATATGGTAAATTTTCCGCCTACATATCCATGATATACTATATGTAATATGTGTATATCTATATTCCCTATAGAACGGACAAAATACACTGTAATGTGAGGCACTGACCAAACAATTAACATCAGAACTACACTACATCTATGCCACAGGCCTCCAAGCAGTTTATTACATGTATACAAGTCTAGAATATACCATTATGTCTGCAGGAATATAACAAGAATGGAACAACTACATTGATGATATGGAATATCACATAAAAGGTTTTTAACCTTATTTTACGCCATAACTTTCGTTTTTATAATAAGTTTATAGTTCATTGTATTTTTATACCATGTATTTTTAATCGTAATAATTATCACGTATCCAGCTTCACTATGCAATTGCAGTTCAGTGGTGTGTGAATATGGTAATCATGTGTTTGCCTGCTGATGGCTTTAATAGCCGAAACATGTAGCTAAGCTAATTTTAGCCTTGACTACTATATTGTTGTGCTGCAACGGACTCTAATAAAGAATTGTATGAATACAGTATTACTGATTTCCTGAACTTTGTCCATTGCGCAATATTCTAAAAAACTGAACACAGCATTTTGGAAGCTAGATTTGTTCTTTCTCAAATGAGGAATTCCTACATAGCTGGGTCTAACAGATGAAGCTAATTCCATTCACTGAAACAACTCTTTCTATTTCACCCAAGCAAGCAATGTTTTATTTTTTAGAACACTGGAAGATGGACAAAGTCCATTTGCTGGTCACTGTCAGTTAGGCACATCTGAACTGTGCCACATATTCAAAGAATTTATTGTCTGTATTTATATTATGATGTAGTCCTCCGGGAGGGACTTTTTTAAGCCGTAGGTCCCGTGTCTTAGCTTTACGGTATGTAAAAGAACCTCATATCTCCAAAGGTCACTGAGCCAAATTACGGACGTTTGCCACCCAACAGCAGTCTCTAATACCTCTGGTAGATGGGGGAGGCATTATAGATACCTCTCAGCTAGTAGAGCCGGTCTCGCTGGCTTGGCGGGACCGATGGTAAGCACCAGTAACGGTAGGATATAGAGACTGGTAGAAATCATAGAGGGAAGCACAATGGACCAATACAGGTCTAAGTGCATGGGGAAACCCACCCTCTCCAATAACTAGCTAACTATATTATAATGTAACCAATAAAAAAATAATCCAGGCCCACAAGTAAAAAAGTAAGTAAAGTAAAGGTATTCCTGTAACAGGCTGTGAGGCCCATAGGGTTGTGAGATGTTGACAATCTAGACAATCGGCTCATAGACGGCAGCAAGTTTGCCAGCCCTACGCGCCGGCCGCCCTTTACCCTCAAGAATATTCTAAGAATGTAACAGTCCTTAAAATCAATTACAGTTGATGAAACTGCATAGTAAGATTTACCTAACAAATTGGTTATATATTTCATAAAATTTTCCAAAGTTCTCAAAAGACATAGGCAGGAGTTCAACTACACTTTTCTAATGAATTAAAGTCAAAAGAAAAGTACACGTCATGACAGACGTACCCTGTATTAAATTTCATCAAATGTGTGGACGAATTCAAAAGATAAACATAAAAGTTCACGTAGCCCTTTAAGTACAGTGGATGCCAAAATTTATATCTTACCAACTTGACTGAAATTTATTTGGTAGTTAGAGACCTGTTACTTGCAAGCAGTTGGTGGACACAATAAAACTAATTTATTTTAAATGCTTGTAAAAAGAAGAGATTTGCTGTAAAGTAGAAAAAAAAAGACAATTTCATCACATAAATTAAAATAACATTATATACCATTACAATAACCAAATGAAAGTACTGTCAACACATTATACAGTTCTGACTCAAAAAAATTTTTAAGAAGAAACTTCTCCTACAAATTTCCTCTTACCAATCAGAAACATCAGATCAGCTACACATAGCCTTCTATCAGTGGCACAGTATTTTCAGGTTTTCTAAATGAGCTAATTAGCTGTTCACACAATCTACCTGTAGCTGTGCTCACATAAAGTTGGTAATCCACAAGCATCATCATTTGAATTCCCAATTTCATCCAATGTTGTGGAGGAAACATCAAGAAGACTCTTCCATTTCTTCAGCCATTCCTGCTGCCTCTTCAACAAGGCCATTTTTGAATGCAACTGCCCATTTTTTATGTAGTTTCGCCCTGTGCGTGGGTGTTTCTGCAGCTCAGAACACTGTGACATTGTAACTGCTGAGACTAGCTGTTTCAGAAACAAACTATTTTAAACACATCATGTGATCCACATAATACAAGAGGTTTATTGGATTCAAAAGTTCTTGTGATGCTCATTCTCTGGTAAATGAATCCACTTGCATACTACAAAGGAACATCACGTTTGTCACAGATATACAATAAAAATTGTCTTAAATGGTACCTGGATATTGAGGAAACATGTCCCTAGTAAGGAATCTAATGCAAAATGCGTAAAATCGCCTGTAATAAACAGAAACTAACATGGAAAAGGGCAAAAAGAGTAAAGTTTTAAAGGAAAATGCCATTTATTTTGGCACAGGCATTTCCACTAAATTTAAACAACTCTGAATTATATAATTTTCAGGGCAATAAGACTGATTGAAAGTCACGTCCGTACATAAACAACTACATGCAGAAAACTTACTGCACTGCTGTAAAAGCGGAATATGTAATGTAGTTAAAAATGACACACATGCAACGCGAATAAATACATGGGTTGTCCATCCGAAAAATCCTTCAATTTAGCTGTACGTACCGTAATTAAATGCAAACCTCTCTACATCACCAGCTTCGGTTCACAGCTTATCCACGTCCAAGTGGCGTTCATCATGGTGATGATGGTGATCATGGTATCCCTGATACAGAAATTTCCCGAACATATATCTACATTGCTTGCCTATCGTACCAACATCTGTTCCAGTAATGTGGGTTACAAAAATAATGTAATGAACTGCGCACAATGTGTAATTCTTTTCGTCTCCATAAATGATCTCAGTGATTTAGTAACCCGCTTTCAATCTTTCACGTGTTATATCCCGCGTCCCGAATCAGATAGCCAACACGGCCAACACCGCCAACACAGCCAACACCGCCAACACCTACAGTTTTCGTTTGGAAAATGGTCGCCGTGGTCAGCCGTGGTTGCCACGCAAGTCTGCTCGAGTCTGGTAGTGGTAGCCGTGGTCGGCCGTGGTTTCGGTGGCAGCAGAGAAGCGGGAATTGACAAGTGAATAGGCGTTCTAGTGAATGATATATCATAAAAATGCCCTGATGATGATTCAGATGATTCCAAACATGTAACAGTTAGAGAATAATAAACAAACGTTAATACAGTATAAGTGTTTTATGCTAGTGGGGTGGGACTAAGTCTCTTGTACTGAGGCCACTTCTGGCGCAGTATAAGTTACTAGCAATATATACGTCTTTGAAATCGACTGCCTACTAACCCGGGTGTAATGTGTGATGTGATCCTTTTATGGTTAACACAGTTCACGAAACTACAAAAACACTGCAAGGCGCTTTGCTAGAGTCGACTGCAGTGGACTAGAGTGTTAATGAGTTCGCGTCTTGTTACCACATGTGATTGCGGTCGATTATGGGTAGACCCTGATGATGCTCATGATGGAGGCAGCATGTACGCTTGAAATGTCGGCATCATCCGTGCAGCCAAATGGTTTAACAACACCAAAAAGCATTCATATCAATCCGTTATGCATGCCAGGTAGTTTGTAGATACCCTGGGATCCGAGTTAAGATATAATGTTAGTACAGTTTGGGGTACCTTAGAAAGTAGTTAGGCTAATTAAAGTTCGTTTAAGCGAAGCGTATGGTAAAGTCCGTAGAGGAAACATTTTGTGCGATAATCTTCGTATCATAAATGGCCAAAAGGAAGATGTCTTATCACCACTTATTGTCGACTTTGCTGAAGAATATGGCAGCAGAAAGGTACAGGAAAACCAGGTTGGACTGAAATGAAATGGAACACATCAACTGCTGGTATATGCTGATGATGTGAATCTACTTGGAGATAACATAGATGCCATAAAAGTAAAGTAAAGCTGCCCCTGTACCAGGCTGTGAAAGCCCATAGGATTGTGAGATGTTGAGGGTCCCACATTATCTAGACAATCATCTGAAAGATGGCGGTAAGGTTGTCAGCACTACGCGCCAGCCGCACTTTACTCCCCAGGAAAATTATTTAATTCCTGATACTCATTTCTGTTAGAGGTTGAGTGAACCCCAGGGCCATAGTGCGGTCAATTGAAAAAATCCAATTACCTCATCGGGACTTGAACCCACGAGATGCCATAAAGAAAAAAAATTAAACTGTAATTGATACTAGGAAGAAGGTTGGTGTAGAAGTAAACAGATAACATGAAGTATATGTTGCTGTCTTGTCACCAGACTGCAGGGCAAAATCATTACATAAATACAGCTAACAGATTCCTTGATAATGTGGCACAATTAAAATATTTTGGAATGACAGTAACAAATCAAACTTTGCTTCACCGGGAAATTAAGGGAAGATATAATTCGAGTAATGTTTGCTACTGTTCAGTCCAAAACCTTTTTGTCTTCTAGTCTGTTGTCTAAAAATGTAAAAATTTGAATACACAGAACTGTAATTTAGCCTGTGGTTCTGTATGGGTGTGAATCTTAGTCCCTGACATAAAGGGAGAAATGTAGACAGGGTGTTTGAGAACAGGTTGATAAGGATAATACATATTTGAATTGAAGAGGGATGAAGTGACGGGAAGTTTGAGAAAACTGCATGATGAGGAGCTTCATAACTTGAAATCTTTGACAAGTACAGTTGGAATGATCAGGTCAATCAGCATGAACAGAGGAGAAGAGGAATGCACATAGGATATTGCAGGGAAAACCATAAGGAAAAAGACCACTAGCAAGAGCAAGATGTAGGTGGATAGATAATATTAAAATGGATCTTAGGATGGGGTGGTATGGACTGGATTGATGTGGCTCAGGATAGGGACCAGTGTAGGGCTCTTGTGAATATGGTAATGAACCTTTAGGTTCCATAAAATGTTGGGAAGTTCTTGAGTAGCTTTTTGAGAAGTGCTGAGCTCCAGGAAGGTAGTCAGATACAATGAGACATGATATGATGGTTTACATCCAAGATGCTACTCTTTCATCTCATTTCTAGAAGTGTTCAGGAAATTGCTGCAGTAGGGAACAAAGGTAACATACCTGAGGAACATCAGTCTTCAACCCTGAAGTACTAATGTGAATCACATTCTTTCTTGAAGTCATATATAGCTGATGGACTGTCCAGTGCCCAACCATTTCTTCTGCAATATATTATGAATACAGAATATCTGCTCAGTAGTTGATCTGTTATGTCAAAGCCCATATTTATGATCGAGAATAATTTCATCTATGTGTGGAGTTAACCATGGTGGAAAGCGGGCTCCGTAGTTTAGATGTAACATTCCCACCTCATGACTCGTAGTACGCGGGTTCAAATACCCGACGGAGGTCATCGAATTTTTAAGGGCGGAAAAATTGAGGGAACAAGTCCTCCGGGAGGGACTTTTAAGTCGTGGGTCCCGTGTCGTAGCTTTACGGCACGTAAAAGAACCTCATACCTCCAAAGGAGGTCACTGAGCCAAAATTGCGGACGTTTCCCGCCCAACAGCAGTCACTAATACCTCTGGTAGATGGGGGAAGCATTATAGATACCTCTCAGCTAGTAGAGCCGGTCTCGCTGGCTGGGCGGGACTGATGGTAAGCACCAATACTGGTAGGATATAGAGACTGGTAGAAATCATAGAGGGAAGCACAATGGACCACTACAGGTCTAGCATGGGGAAACCCACCCTCTCCAATAACTAACTAACTAACTAACTAACTAACCATGGTGGAAGAATGTTCCATAAAACTCTGTACATAGTTAATAACAAAACAGATCAATTGACCTAATTCATAGGCTGCTAGATGACTCACTCTGTGCCACAGTGAGAGTCTTCCATTTCTCAGGCTGTTTTTAACAGGAAAAATTATTTGCATTCGTGTAAAGCGGTCAGAGCATGAAGCTGACTACTCTCCTCCACCAAGTGCTGAGGTCAAGAATGGTGGAGCTATTCCTCTACTCTCCCACAAGTCTTTGTGGTGTAGTGCTTAATTAAGTACAAGAACAACTTTACCCTTGCCTTTATTGTCACTATTATTTATATATTGCTTATCTTCCATGCATCCACCTCTCTATGTCCCCATGAAACAACTCTTATCATGAATAACATTTCTTAAAAATTTGATACTTTTTACCAAAATATACTAATAAGATAGATTTTTTGACCACTTCTTAGACTTTGTACTAGATATATTTCATTAAAAACTGAGTAGACAAAAATGTTTGCAACAGAAGTTACAGTAGCAATCAGAGGAATAGGGTGCTTCATTATATTTTATGTTGTTTTCAAGATAATGATCATCACATATATTTTTTTTATTGCTCGTGGGGTGGGACTAAATCCCTTGTACTGCAGCCCCTTCTGGCCTATTGTACCAGCCCCAAATGATAGGTGAGAGTGATTGTGGAGCAATTGGTGGAATGAAGATTGGCAAGGGAAACCGAAGTACTAGGAGAAAACCTGCCCCACTACCACTTGACCAGACCCGGGATTGAACCCAGGCTGCCGCGGTGGGAAGCCAGTGACTAACCACTTGAGCTATGGTGTGGCCTTCATCACATATAACTGCACTTCAAAAATATATAGGCCTATACAGGTATCAACATTTATTTTGAGATGTGCTGTGTATGGAGCTGAAAGTGATGGTATAGATGGGTGAATGCCACCGCAACTCCAGAGCACATTATAAAGAAGCTATTTCTGATGTCTCAAGACGTCTTGACTTCCCTTTATTTGACATATGCCTTATTTTATCTTCTAGTACTACATTTAATGCAAAGACACTGTTATAATCTAACATTCTTCTGTGTAATGTGTTCAGAATTAACAAGCTGTATGGAAATGTCAGGTGACATTGACAGCAATGTATCTCACCTGTAACAGTTTCCAATTATCCCTGAAATTATTTTTCACTTTCCATTCCAAGATGATAACAGCAAAGCCTTTCTGCATCATTTAGCAAACTTGCTGAAGGTGCTAACTACAGATAAATTAGCTTCTTTGTGTGTTTATTCTTTACTGAAAGTAATCTGACAACTTCTAACCTCAAAGACTTTACTCACAGCATATGTTCAAAGGACCAAGCTGGCATAGTATCTTAGATCATTTTTATTTTATCCTGTAGATCAAACGTTGATATGGGGCATGATCATCTACATTCCTGTGGAAATACGAGGGCGTTCCATATATAATGCGTCCTATTTTTTTGTGTTAAACTGTAACGTCTGAGCTGGATGTTGGTGGTGTTGTAAAGGTTGAACCTTCCTGCCAATGTGCTGTTAGTTTGATTGTCATGCAACATATAGCAACAGCAGAGCAGTCTACCAAAATGGCGTCTGACATAGTAGTGTCTACGAAGCAGATATGTGTTATTGAATTTCTCACTGCCGAACAAATTGCACCCATTGACATCCATCGACACTTGCTAAAGGTGTATAGAGACGATACAGTGGATGTCAGCACAGTGAGGTGGTGGGTAGTGCATTTTAACAGTGGTGAAAGTGAAGCGCACGACAAGCCACGCCCTGGGCGTCCCTGCTCAGCTGCCACTCCTCACAATGAACAGCGCCTCGATCAGCTCATCTGTACAGATCAGTGGATAATGACCAGGGAACTGTGTGCACAGCTTAATATCGGCTGTAATGCACTGGAAACGGTATTGGGGAAGTTGGATTATCGTAAAGTTTGTTCCAGGTGGGTCCCATGGATGCCTACACAGGACCACAAAACTCATGGAATGGAAGTCTGTCAGGACCTGTTGCACCAGTTTGAGGCTGAAGGTGACAAGTTTCTGGACAGCATCGTCACTGGAGATGAAACGTGGTGTCACCACTACAAGCCGGAATCCAAAAGACAGTCCATGGAGTGGCGACATCCGGATTCCCCAAGAAAAAAGAAGTTCAAGACACAGCCATCGGCAGGGAAAGTAATGTGCATAGTCTTTTGGGATAGGCAGAGTGTGATTTTCTTGGATTTCCTGGAGCCTGCTGAGACTGTCAATTCTGAACACTATAAGACGATGCTGACTAAGCTGAAAGCCTGCATTTCCTGAGTCAGGCCAGAGAAGCAGACAACCTTTCGCTTGCAACACGATAACGCTAGACCCCATACCGGTTTTGCGACCACTGCACACATTGCAAAGTTTGGTTGGACTGTCCTACCACATCCACCTTATAGACCCGATTTAGCACCTTCAGACTTCCATCTCTTTGGGCCTATAAAAGACGGACTACGTGGGCAACATTTTCCAGACAACGATGCTGTCATTGCAGCTGTAAGAAAGTGGCTAGCCTCTGCTGGCGCAGACTTTTACGGGCGCGGCATACAGGCTCTTGTTCATCGCTGGCAAAAGTGCATAACGAATGGTGGTGATTATGTGGAAAAATAGCTGTAAGTAGCTGAAATCTTGCTCTATTTAACTGTGTTATTATGCTTTCTGTATCTGTTGTTTTCATATATGGAATGCTCCTCGTACATCAATGATTATGGCATAAACTTATTAGAAACATAGCTTATTCTATACATTTTTTAACAGTAGCCAATGTTACAGAATTCTTCATTGAGGTAATCTTCTATTGAATAATAAGTCTTTAATTTCCTTTTTAAACTGGTTGGTCTTACCTTTTTTTTTATATCTTGTTGGGCAATTTGTTACATAAGATATGTGCTACTTATGGTTTACTGTTATGAAGTTCTAAATTATGTACATACCTATGATAGTTATTGCTTCAAATATGTTTCCTACAAATGCTTGACACTTCATCAAGTACACAATAACCAAGATCTAAAATCTGCCCACATCTCTGATAAGACTATCCAATCAGCCAATCCAACTTGAACATCTTTCCCATCCGGACTCCTATTGCCACAGCAGACTTAAGAAAACTACAGCTCCATCCATTGTAGATTAAGTGGGAAAATTGCTGTTTTTTACGTTTTACCATATAATTTACCTCTCCAGTGATGACTTCCACTCTGATAGTACTCTGGTGTAAGGCCTCATACGTGTGGAGTTATTTAATGTTTTGTCTTAACTCTCAAAGATGGTTTGTGCTGTGCTTGGTTTCTATATACTACCTTATGTTGGTGCTGTTGCCCAGAGATAGGGTTTAGCTCTATTGACTGGACCCACTGGGTAAGTTTTACCTGAAGATGGAGACAGAATCCAGTGTCAGAAACACTGTTTTAAATAAAAACAGGGTGATGGATAATGTCCACAAACATATTTGTATCAAGACACAGGTATACAACCAGATTTACTGGGTATGGGCTTCCACATAAACATCACTGACATGAAAATAACTCCTATGGGATGAGCAGGCAAAGAATTAACACCAATGAAGGAAACTGTACGAGGCTTTTATGTTGTTTGTAGTTTCTGAATTTGACCAAACAGTAGACGTTCAGTTTATTGTACCTACCATACAAACATTATAAAAACAAAAATAATTAGTAATCTACCAATGCTAATGCCATTAACCATTGCCTTTCATATTAAATCGATCCTTCTTTCATATATTTATATACAGTATTTTGTTTGATTAAATTTTATGTTACAAAGATCCTATTAAACAAAAAGAAGTACTTCTGCTGGAAGTGCTCTTTTGAACAGTAACATATTTACTGTGCCTTAAATTCATAGGACAACAGTAAAATCCACTTAAAAATATAATTTATTTACATAATGCATCTTTCTAGTGTATGTAGCTTAGATCATACAGTGCAGGAATATTGTACCAAAGGGTCTTTAACACACATCTCAGGCAGTGTTGTACTCTACAAAAATTTGTATCCAATATGTACACTTAAAATAAGTCTTCTTATCCACTGGAATGCTGGCTTGGTGTAAGGCCACCAGGATGTTCAGGACTGTGTTTCTGTTTTTTCCTTTTCTTTTCTTTCTTTCTTTTCTTACGTTCCTTTTCTTCATCATGTCGCTTCTGTTTCTTGTGCTTCTTCTCGTGAGTATCTTGTCCAACTTCAGTTACCTGGGTTTCTTGACTTGGAGTCTCCCCAGCTTTGTGTTTATGTTTCTTATGTTTATTTTTGTGTTTTCTTTGTGGTGCCTGGTTCACGTAGCGATACTGTTCTGGAAGTGGTCCTGGATGAAGCCTGAATCCGGCCAGCTGAACACTAGTTAAGGGAAGCAATTCTTTACCACCAATAGGCGGTTTATCAATTACAGAACGCAGGGAACTATTATCCAGATGACCAGGAGTATCAATCATTCCAGGTAAATTTGGAAGGAAAGATGACAACTGCTCCTTTACTTTCTTTCCACTGAATTTGCTGTATGAATGTTCTAAACCATAATATGCCATCAAATTTGTGGCTCCAGTTAGCTCACTCTCACCTGAAAACAGAATGAAGAGAGATGCATCATATAACACTACATACAAAAAATGGGCACAGTAGTTCAGGCTTTATTATTTTGTATGTAATCATTCTTGCACCAGTCATCTGAATTACAGATTTTCTTAAATTACATGGATATAAGTACAGAGGAGATTGTATTCCCTGCTAAAGAGTGGTCTTTTCTCATACAATACATTTAAGAAGTTCACTGTAGTTAGCTGTACACTACAAACATTCAGTGTAAGAGACACAAGGTGATTTTTGGGAATGATTATGAAGGACATGACAAATAAGCAACTTGCTTTTGGGCTGTTGTTCACTGATCTCTAAAAATCCATTTTGCTCCCCACTGATCACTTCAGCGCTTCAAAAAATCCAAAACCAAACTGCGTGGCCTGTAGTCCGCAAGCGAACTGTATTGACCAAGCAACCGCCGCTTGTCAGCGAAGTTAGTACCAACTTTCGCGGACAGAGGATGTCACATGGTCAGCGCAATGGATCCCCACGGCCGTTAATCTCGGTTTTCAAGACTGGAGCCGCTATTCCCTGAAATAGCTCCTCAGTTATCCTCATGAGTTTGAGTGGACCCTGTTCCAGACCCACTACTTCTCAGAAAATCTTGCAGTGCCAGGAATCGAACCCAGGAACTCTGACCACTAGACCTGAGGCGGTCTTGCTTCAAAAAATAAGTTAAAATCACTGTGATGTATTCTTTATTCCTCACACAATGTAGGATGCTATATACCTGCATACTTATTTTTGCAATACTGTAAAATGTAAAATGGAACAAACTGAAAAGTATAATCATATGGGTTGTAATGCCATATAGTTCCTTTCCAATCTATATGGTGTGACAACCCTGGTGGACTTCTACTGAACAACATGGCATTACAACAGAAAGATGAACTTCTGCCAAACTATACTGCATTATATCCATGGGGAACATCTATCAAACTACACAAGGTTACAATGCAGAGGTGGACCACTACATATATGGTGTTACAGCCCAGAAGATTGTTCTGTTCAAAGCCGTCACTGTGAGAACTTCAAGTCCAACAGTGAAAGCTGCTCTTTATGTCAAATTATGTCAACAAATGCTCAACTGCTAAGATGCAGTACTACACTTACACAACACACTCAGGCCAAAACTAAACATCTATCACCTTAGCTAAACAAGACCCCATAGTCATCCCACCATTCATGCCTGTAGCCTTTGTCAACAGAATTAACATTTCTATATTTTGTTCCAGTTATGGGTTAAAATTAAATTACAATTGTACTTTCAATTAAAACAAAAATAACAATAAAAATAAAACTGGTGGCATCTTCTTCTTGTCCAAATCTTTAGTGCCATCAAATTTCTTTCTTTTCTTTTCCTTCTTATTTTTGTGTTATTCCCTGTCTGCTTATTTTCTGCTGTTATTAGGCATGTCTAACGTTCTTTGGTAGATGGCCAAGAACTCAGCGAGAGTCACATGATGACAGAAACATGTTGCACCTATGCAGTGCAGTGTCAACAAGTGTACAGTGACAGTGTGAATGAGTCAATAAAACCACATATCCTTAGAACCCCCCAAAAACTGCTGTAGATAGGAAAGAAACACAATATCATTTAAGCTATAATGCAACAAGATGCTTCAATACAGAACTGTGAATTAATAAGTATTGCTCTATCATGAACATCTTACAAGAAACAGATTGTATTCTGGGAAAGAAGTAGCAGTGCTTCTGCACTGAAGAAGAAAAAGACAATATTCTAATTTATGATGTTACATACTGTCACATCATGGAAAAATATTTTAGACAGGTCATAGTTTTAATAAATATTTCACAACAATAAATCTTAATATTAAGAAAACTAATATTTATACTGCAGTGTCATACTTGCATTCCCATTTCTCAAATGGTATTCCAGATATGAATATTAATTTAGTTGCAGAAGAGGAAATAATTAGTATAATTAGAAAATTAAAATCAAAAAACTCTTCAGGGTATGATGGTGTAACAAATATAATTATAAAACTATGCAGACAACAAATCAGTAAACCTCTAACTTATGTAATTAATAAGTTATTAACCATGGGTCTATATCCAGAAAGATTAAAATATGCAATTATTAAGCCAGTATACAAAAAAGGGGAAAACGCTGTTATAAGTAACTACAGGCCAATAACTACAGTAACTGGGTTTGCAAAAGTTTTTGAAACAGCAATTTTAAAAGATTCAATGATCATAACGTAAAACATAAAATATTACTTTCAGAGCAGTATGGATTCCAAAATGGATTATCAACCGAAGATGCAATGCTTAAATTAACCAATGTAATACTTACAGCTTGGAATAGAAAAAGAGTATGTAGCTGGTATATTTTGTGACATAGCCAAGGCCTCTTGACTGCATTAATCATGATCTTATATTAATGAAACTGCAGTACTATGGAGTGCAGAGTGTATTATTGCAATGGTTCAAATCTTACCTCCAATATAGGAGGAAAAGAGTGGAATTAAATTATATAAATAATAAATATTATTCCAACTGGGAAATTATTGGATGTGGTGCGCCTCAGGGATCAGTGTTGGGTCCCTTACTCTTTAATATATACATAAATGATTTCCCCCTTGAAATAAGTAAAATTTCTGAAGTTATTATGTTTGCAGATGACACACGTATTCTTTGCACAGCTAAAGACTACTATAATTTGAAAACAAAATTGGATGTTGTTTTCAATCATATGTTTTCATGGTTTCAAAATAATCAATTAGTGTTAAATCTGGATAAAACAATATGATAAAATTCACACCAACAGCAGCTATGAGCTACCCTCTATGTACATTCTTGTTTAACAAAAAGCTGAAAGAAGTAGAAACGATAAAATTTTTCGGTTTGCAGCTGGATAATCATCTGACTTGTATGAGACATACATATTTTTTGCTTCACAAGTTGAGCACAGTTGGTTTTCTAATGCGAAAATTATCCTATATGTTAAACATAAATTGTCTTAAAGCTGTATATTATGCATATTATCATTCATTGGTGAAATATGGAATATATTGGGGAAATACATCAGACAGTCATAAGGTCTTCGTTATACAAAAGAAAATAATAAGAATAATGATGGGAGTGGGCCCAACTCATACATGTAGAGATTTATTCTAAAAGCTTGACATACTACCAATCCCATGTGTATATTTGCTTTCATTGATGACATTTGTTTTTAATAATTTGGATAAGTTTCAAACCAATAACTCTGTATATGTGATTGGTACCAGAAGGAATGACCACCTTCACATACCTTCAACACATTTATCATCCTACCAGAGAGGAGTGTATTGTTTGGGCATCAAGCTATTTAACAGTCTGCCATCAAATATCAGTTTTAAAAAATGATAAAAAGCAATTTAGGTTTGTTTTATGAAATTATTTGCAAAGTAACTTATTTTATTCTATTGATGAATCTGTCAAGTATGCAAGGAGCTCAAAAGTTAAAGAGTTAATAAATGGTCTGTGTGCATGAATTATTGTTGAGACTTGCTTGTTGTAAGTATAGTAGTAAGTATGATGTCTGTTTTTGTTATGAATTTTAATATTTTATAATGTAACTGGATGATATGGCTTGCCAGCGTGTGTGGAATGGCAAGGTGTGAATTTTATTGTGGTTTCTCCATGACCTGTGTGTGTTGTCCTGATAACTTGAGCTATTCTGTCTCAGGCTTGATTTTATATTTTATTGAACCAAGGATGAATGATGTGTAGTCATCATGAATTTGTAATATGTGACATGTTTTATATCCAGCCCTACAGGGAGATGAAATAATAAATAAAATTATGAAATAATAAATAAATGTAAATGTAAACAAATTTCATATCTGTCAAGTAATATATATGCTTTTATTGTGGGACTTCAAACATTATTAAACTTTTTACAATATTATATTTAAGCATCCTGTTACACTCTACACGATATATGACACAAACTCCATCCTAAGTGCAACAATTTATTGTAGTTCTTTTGTCTTCTTCTACACTACATGTTTCGGCCGTAAATGGCCATCATCAGGTGTATACTCTCACGTAGCTGCTACACTGCACGTAGTTTAAAATTTAAAAAACACTAGTCTTCCCAATTGTTCGTTTCTCCGTTGCTGACAGGTTTTGATATATCAGAATCCTCACCATTGATATCTGTCAGATATGTATAAAATCTTTGTTAACCTACACACGTCAATTTGATTTTTTTTTAAACTGGCACTTTTAAAATCTTCAATTCCAATTTTAAAATTTCTTTAAAATTTTTTCGAATTTTAAAATTTAAAATTCTCAGGGGTGCCCGCCCTATGTCTATAGTGCTGCAGCGGCTACTTCTTGTTTTCAGCACTGTTCGGGTACTATTCTGTGTAGGCTCTCTGTGTGCGTGCTGCTGCTTATCTTTAATACATGTATTAAAGACTGACTCGTTGTTTACTTTCCATACAGTACGGACAATTCTTCGTAAGATGAGGTACTGACTATACAATTAATTAATCTGCAACATCATGGGCCTCCTATACATTCTTATATAAAAGAAATATCAAAGTTCCAATTTGTCCGTGGAAACGTATGAAAAGTAATAAATAATGACTGATTAGATGTTATATACCATCAATTAAATTTTATCTTGTTTTATATAATAGCTTTTAGTTTTTTATATAATCTGACTTATTGTATTTTTATGCAAAGTATTTTAAATGATTAATAATATTGTATCCAATCTAATGTGCTGCAGTTCAATGGTATATGTTTGCTAATATATGTTTGCCTGATGATGGCCGTTAGTGGCTGAAACATGTAGCGAAACCATAGCTGAGTGCTGACCTAGATTTTTTCTGTTTGTTGTGTTGTGATGGTTCAATAAAGCTGTATATTGTGTTTCAACAGAATATATGTTTTATCTCAGAAGACAGAACTCTTCCCTATTACATTTAAAAAATCATCACATTCCTGAAGTAGCTAGTCAATACCATGACATTTCTTTCCTCTCCCACTTTCTATTTTGTCCAAGGGTCTGAACATTTGATGCATGGGCCTAAAGATGCTGTACCATCTATGTATAATCCATAATACTGACAAATAAACACATAAAATTTGGGTTGCGAATACTTCTCGTTCAAATTTTTCATGGGATAATGGAAGTACTCTGAGACGGTCTGTTTGTAATGCTCTGCAAGTAATAAACAGGGCGACCCTGAGTCATAGGCATCAGCCCCCATCCACTGGAATTTTGAATAAAAATATACCAACTGTTAATATCAATAATTAAATGGATCTAAAAAATACTGCAGGGCGTTAATTAAACAATTTTCAGGGACTTAAACATAAGTCTGTAAGCACATTTCCCGGTCCCGCCGTTGCCGATTGAAAAAGGTCTGGCGGCTCTAAGGGCTCACACAAATTTAATACTCGCGTAGGCGAAATCCAAAAATAACTGTCCAAACACAATACATGACATTTCACGGTACACCTGTCAAACCTGCATATCATATAAAACAATAATATTAAAGCTTCATACGTAATAAGCTCGTATTTTCCTGTCCTTTTAAATAGGCTTACCTGGAGGCTCTTTCATCAAGTAGAATGGTCCGCTATGGACGATGGATGGGTTTTTCCCTAAGGAGATCGTCGTTTTTAATGTTCCTGTAGAATCCTGACGTGAAACAACAGGGGACCGAGCCCCTCGGGGTGACGATTTTGGCGAATATTGTTCTACTTTCCGATACTGATCAGCCATCATCATTCTCCCTCATCGTTTCTTGCAGTCCACAGCAAGACAACAAGACAGCTTCCAAAACCTTCCACTGTAACACACTTCAACACAATTGTGCCAACAACGGCTGCTTATAATCAGATATTGCTCCCACAAGATACAATGCGTATAACGTTGGCAATATTTGTATATTGCGTCGAAATATGCTACCATCTACTGGAAATTGGGCGAATTGCACATCCCAACTGTTGATAAAATATACAACTAAAATCGCGACATCTGTGATCTGAGATCCATATTAAGTGATCGTCATTCTCAGAAAAAAAAAATTGTAGTCCTGTATATTCATATAATAAATTAATCAGAAATCCGTATTAGTGCTCGTAATTCCCAGAGCAAAATTATTATCATATAATGATTGTGTTACCGTTTCCTCAATTTGGCCTGCTCCATTCAGGTGATCTATTTAGGTCAATCCTTTAAATTCTAAAATCAAACTAAATACTACTTAAACGTTCATTTCTACAAACAAAAAAAATATTGAGTATCCATTACAACAATCAATCTATAAGTTCTATTTAGAGCGATGGCACACCAAGGAAACTGGCAACTGCAACGAAACCGCAATTTCCGAGAAATGTCGCATGTATCAAGAAGGCAACTGGTTTCCAGATTAGCTAGCACACAGTGAGGAAACATGTTTGATCAGTTATTACATCGTCTTAAGAGGTTATATCAGTCCGACGTAATGCATGATTGTATTTTTTTAATCTCGTGCACTTACCTTCTGCAATGGAAGACAATAATAGAGATCGTGTCATAATATGGTGGTAGTTAAGACCGGTTGAAACGGCGTAAGAAGGGAGAACGACGGCCGTAAGAAAAACATTAGGATATTAATTTATTTGTTTTAAGGTCAATTTATTTTAATCATGAAATATCGCGTTCATACATGATTCGAAATTTTCATATACAGTGCAACAATTTTTAGGAAGATAGCAGACACCTGATGATGGCCGTATATAGCCGAAACATGTAAATCGGAAGAAGGTTGACTATGCAGTAAGTTGCATTTATCGGCCGCGCCATAGCTCAAGCGGTTAGTCGCTGGCTTCCCATCGCGGGCGGCCCGGGCTCGATCCCGAATCTGGTCAAGTGGGATTTGTGGTGGACAAAGTACCACTGGGGCAGGTTTTCTCTGAGTACTTCGGTTTCTCCTGCCAATCTTCATTCCACCAATTGCGCCACAATCACCCTCACTCATCATCTGTGGCTGGTACAATAGGCTAGAAGTGGCTGCAGTACAAGGGACCCACTCCACTAGCAACAACAAAAGAAGTTGTATTTAAGAGGGAAATATATGTGGAATAAATGATGTGTTAATGCAACAGGATGCTTGCTTACTTACTTTCTTACTCGTGGAGCTGAGCCCGTCTGGAGGAACTGCCAATTCTGCAGCTACTCAAGAATTTCCCAGCATTTTATGGAACCTGAAGGTTCATTACCGTGTTCACAAGAGCCCACCCCTGGTCCCTATCCTGAACCAGACCAATCCAATCCATACCATCCCATCCTATCTCTCTAAGATCCATTTTAATATTGTCCACACACCTACGCGATGGACTTCCTAGGGTCTCTTTCCTTCTCGTTTTCCCACCAATAACCTATATGCATTCCTCTTCTCCCTCATTCATGCCACATGCCCTGCCCAGCTCATCTTCCTTGACTTGATCATTCTAATTATATTTGGAGAAGAGTACAAGTTATGAAGCTCCTCATTATGCAGTTTTCTCCAGCCTCCTGTCGGTTCATCTCTCTTCAGTCCAAATAGTATCCACAACACCCTGTTCTCAAACACCTCAATCTATGTTCTTCCCTTAATGTCAGAGACCAAGTTTCACACCGATACAGAACCACATGCAAAATTATAGTTTTGTATATTTATTTTTTATGTTTTTGGACAGCAGACAAGAAGACAAAAGCTTCTGGACTGAACGGTAGCAAGCATTACCCGAGTTCAATCGCCTCTTAATTTTCTCCTGAATCAGATTTTGATCTGTTATCGTTGTTCCCAGATATTTGAACTGTGCCACATTTTCAAAACATCTGTTTCCTATCTTTATGATATGAATTTGCTTTGCATTCTGGTGACGAGACAGTAACATACTTAGTTTTCTCTGTGTTTACTTCTAGACCAACCACCTAATTTGCTTCTATTAAAGTTAGTGTGTTTTTCTTTATGGTATCTATAGTATCACCCAGCATATTCAAATCATCGGTGTAGACCAACAGCTGATGTGTCCCATTTAATTTCAGTCCCACCTGGTTTCCCTGAACCTTCCTAATGGCATATTCTAAAGCAAAGTTGAAAAAGAATGGCGATAAAGCATCTCCTTGTTTCAGGCCTTTCTGGATAGGAAATTTATCAGACAAATGTTTACCTATACGGACTTCACTATGTGTTTCGTTTAAACACATTTTAATCAACCTGACTAGTTTCATGGGTATCTCAAACTCTATTAGAATATTGTACAATACTTCCCTCCTAACTAAATCATATGCTTTCTTGAAGTCCATGAATAGCTGATGTACTGTCTCATTATACTTCCATTTTTCTCCAATATCTGACGAATGATAAAGATCTGATCTGTAGTTGTTCTGTTATGTCGAAACCCACCACCTTGCTTGATGACTTCTGTGTCTTGAACTCTTTTGGACATGGGGAACCACTGTGTCTTCATTCCCTGGACTTTTCTTTGGTCTCTGGATAATTTTTATGGATCCAAGTTAATCCATAGTTAATTTTTTGTTTCATACACGCAGACGGATGGACAGTGTAACCGCTTGTCCCTCAATTAAAATTGCTTAACAGCGGCTATAAAATTCCTCTTATTGATTCTACCTGAAAGAGACGCCACTCCGACGAGGTACCATCCCAGGACCTAGTTGTAATTCAAACTAGTCCTCCTTGGGCTTATGGCACCACATTGTATGTAACATCATCAGTAGAGTTTCGATGTTATCTTCCATCTGTTATAGGGAGGTATTTTGGAAAATCAATCCTTGTTTTATTCTGAGTCCCCGAGGAGGAATGTCACCCTAACTGTGTTTGGTCCCTTACTTGAAGGACTTCAAGAACAAGTTAGCAGCTTCATCAACTATTCGTGCCATCTTAACAAAGCACTGAATCACTGAAGTGCGTTACAGAACAGCTGATTTCTAGGAATCCGCTTGATAACTCAATCGTACTCGATCGTGTGTAGACTTGCATGCTCCGTTGCCTGGATATTGGGTTTCTCAGTCTCCCCGCGATTTGCGTTGCCGTTTCCTCAATTTGCGCTGCCCCATATATATATACTAACACGCGTTCAACTCTGGCTGATAACCAGGGCCCGGATTTTGATGACATGTCATCTTTTTTTTTCTTTATGTAGTAAACGTTGCTTTTAAGTACTAAAGCCCCGATTATGAACCTCTGGTTATAAAAATGTGAATTTTATTATGCATTTTTGTCATATTTTGTATGTTTTAGTTTTAGGTCATTTTACATCATTTTTCGTCATTTTTCACGTTTTACATCAATTTTGGTTATCTTTTACGTTTTTTAATAATTGACATCCATTGCTCAAACTGAAGATATTTGTAAGATTTGAGGATATTTGATTCGTGAGGTAGAAATCTATGTTCTTCAAGTAAATTTTGTTTTGTATCTCTAGCCTCTGTCGCTATGTATAATAGATTTGTTTGTGAGAGGGCACATTATTTTTCTTTCTAAGCCGCCAGAGATGCCGTTACTGTCCCGTGACGCTTTCTAAGCCACCGCTATGTCATAAACTCATAAAATTGATGCCTCAGAAATGCAGAGGGGTAGGTTTAAAGAGATGTCCGGGTTTCATAAAATCAAGAAATTGGAAACTAAACGAAATGTTGTGATATTCACATTGTTGTTATAATGAAACACTATATCTAGGAAGATACAATATTCTAAGTCGCACGTCTTTCTAAAGGTTGTCGCCCCACACGTGCAAAGGGTCAATTACTTCAAACGAAATCTCGGTATCATAAAAAACATAAATTTTAAAATGCAAGGAGACGCTGGTTTATTTCAAAGGACAACAATGAAGAAAATATTTTTTTCAATATGCAAACATTCTGTGTCGGCAACTTTATTCTTAAGTACCTTTGTTCAACGAGAAACTATGTCATTTTAACAACTCGCTGGCTTTGATAGATTTATTTTCACTGTCACACTTTTATTTAGTGAAAGATCTTCATAGTGGAAAGTTTGATTCTCGGTTTCTGTAGTTTCATTCAGTAAATCGTCTCATTTGAGGCAAATTGTTTCCGAGTTCGGAGATGAAGTTTTTCTACTGACGGGATAGTACCATTTTGTAAGATGTGCGAAACAACGTATCTGGCGAAAGAAGATTCATAGTGCAGCAACATGTGAGTCGCGATAAGCATATATGAGCAGTGCAACTTGCAAGTAAGAAGAAATCCACACAACTTTTACTGCAACAAAGTGTCGGCCTATCCGCAAAAGAAAATAAGTGGTCAGATTTTCACAGAGACTTTTGTGAAGCTCTAGTTTCTGCCAATATCCAATTTTGGAAAGTGAACAAGAATAAATTCAGGAGTTTTCTGGAACTGCATATCGGGCGTGCTATCCCAGACGAATCAACTCTTAGGAAGAACTACCTGTCACAATGCTATGACAACACCATTAAGATGATAAGGAGGAAGGTACAGGGAAAGAAGATTTTCGTATCCATCGACGAGACCAGTGACGTATAATATCGTTACTTGGCTAATGTTGTCATTGGTACTGTGGAGATCGACAGACCAGGTGAAGTGTTTCTACTTACGAGTGAAGTAATAGGAAGAGTTAATCACTCTAAAATTTGCAAACGTTTGGAAAAATGTATGTTTTTGTTATGGCCTGAGGGTATAAGACATGACAATGTCTTGCTTTTTGTTACTGACGCAGCTCAATATATTGTGAAAGCAGGGAAGTCAATTCAAGCTTTTTACCCGAAAATGGTGCATATTACTTGCTTAGCACACGCTACGCATAGGGTGGCAGAGGAAGTTAGAGCAAATTTTCCTCAAGTTGAAACCCTTGTGTTCAAGACAAAGAAAATTTTTGTCAAGGCTCCCTCTCGTAAAGTCCTCTTCAAGTCAATGGCTCCCGATGTTCAACTTCCACCAGAACCTGTCATCACCCACTGGGTACCTGGATAGATTCAGCAATTTATTATTGCAATCATTTCAAGATGGTGAAAAGTGTTATTGAAACACTGGACTCTGATGATGCTAGTGCAATTGAAGCTGCTAAAAGCCTATTTTCAAACAGTAAAATTGACGGACAGCTGGCTTTTATAAAAGCCAATTTCAATTCCGTAACACATGGAATCACAAGTGTACAGGAAAAAGATGCAAACCTTGAAAGTTCTCTATCATTAGTTAAGAAAGTTGCATCTGATTTGAAAAATGTTGGGGGAGATGTTGGAAAAAATGTGTCAAAGAAAGTAGAAAGTGTTCTAGACAAAAACCCTGGATACAGAATATTGTGTCACATTTCTCAAGTGCTAACTGGTGAATCATTTGATACTTCCTGCATTGAAGAAGAACTTACTGCCACAGATGTAGTGCACTTCAAGTATGCTCCAATTGTATCAACAGATGTGGAGAGGAGTTTCTCCAAGTACAAAACTGTGTTGCCCGACAACAGGCGATCCCTCACGTTCGAGAACCTCCACATGCTGATTGTTACCTACTGCAATAATTCTGAATAAGGTAAGATTTATGTATTTAAATTTCACTATCTTCAAGGAACTACGTAAGCTTTCTAGAGCAGAAAAATTCGCCGGTATAAATTTATTTATTTATAGTTTCAGCTCTGATTTTAAAGAAATAATAACTGTGCCGTACTAACTGTTATACAATAATAGGCCTATTTTATTGCAAAATTCATTCATTTAATTTAAAATTATGTCCCGACTTTCCAAAACATCTATTTTTCATGTAGTAAAAAATATATTTAAAATGTATTCTTTTCAGGAATCAGTAATGGAAATTTTGCTTATACTTGTATATTCCTGAAGAGAGTTGTTCATGAATGGAGTAAACATTAAGCCAGTATCACCTAATAGCACTTATTTCATCTACTGGGCAGCAAGAGACTATATAGCATTTTAATTATAAATTGTGTTAATTTTCTTTAAAACTCTATAATTTTTTCAATAAATTTATATTAATTAATATAATGTGAAAGACTATGTTCTTAATTAAGAACATAGTCTTTTGAATTAATCATTTCTTTCTGACTAAGTTCCAATATCCCTAAAAATGTAAAGATCCTAATTTACATAGTTCGCATATACCTGATTTTAAGAAAATTTAGAAATNTTTAAGCCTTTTTTAAAATTTTTAGGTCATTTTTTAAATATTTTTTGGTCATTTTACAGATCATAAACCGGGCCCTGCTGATAACACATCTCGGAAATCGCGGTTGCGTTGCGGTTGATAGTTTCCTTGGTGTGCGCACGGAATTGACAGCACAAAATTAGGAAACGGCAACGCATCTCGCGGAGATACTCAGAAACTAAAGTCTCGTGTTCTGTATACTCTGGTAGTGCACAAAGTATGTTACATTGACTTCCGTTTTATGTTCTTTGGAATTCCGGTTTGTATCATCAACAAGAAGGGACGCGTAGGAAGAAAATGGGTGACAATCGTAAGTAATATGTTTAATCATATTATATTTTATTTCTTATTCGTTTAATTGCTACATCCTGTATACATATTTAAATATTGGTCCATCAATATTAGAATGAACACTTCTCTATATTTGGTTTATTTATTAATTATTCGCCATAGGCGGTTGTAATTCGGAGTTGAAAGCCGAAATTTATAGGCAGTTTAAAGTACAAAATACCAATCGATGTGTACCGAATGATTGCAGACTTTGTTTTGCTAGACGGTTATAACTAACGAAGTTTGTGTAGTAGTCCCCCCCACTTTTTTTGTAATTTGTTTTCCCTTCTTATTTCTGAGGTTACTTCTAGGCATAGGTTTGCCCGCGTTTTTTCTTTTACAGAATACGGAAATTACAATTCGAGTGGTACAGCGTACGGTGGTTATGCTGGCTATTCACAGCCGGCTCCAGCGGGAGGTGCTGCTGGAGCTGCAAGTGCTCCTACTCCAAATTATCCATCAACGCAAAGCTATGACCAAAGTGGTTATAATCAGCAGGGGTCGTGGGGACAGCAACAAGGTTATGGCAGCTATGGTTCAACTGGTGACCAGACATATTCACAGCAAGGTGTATATGCATTCTTGCATATAGTTTTTGTATCGAATTTACAATATAGCAGATATTTCCGTGTGTATGTGGGGAAACTTGGTGCTCTATATCACGAATTAATAATGCCATATATTGAAGAGAATGTACAAATACTGGGTGAATTGTAATCTTGTGGTTCTCATGAAGTAGAATGTTTAGGCTAATGTTAGAATCTCAATAAAAGTTTTGTAGCATTGAAATTGGGCTCTCAAAATTTCAGTACTTATATAATTGTGATATATTTTTAATGTCAGTTTGGGAAGGAAAAATTAAGCTGGAAATGTGTTGACAGGTTAGTTTGGGTTAGCGTAGTTATGTTTAGTTTTCTTTACATTTTGCCCCAAATTGTGGTGCAATTTCAGTACAGTTTTCAATTTTATATGTGCCCATTTCTCTTTGGTTTGTTGTGTATTTTCACTTTTCTTTTTACAATCCTCCTGTAAGGTTTTAATTAGAATTGTTGTTATTTCTTATGTACTTAACGGCCTCAGAAGGTTCAGGTTGAAAGAACTTGTTTGTTTTTGAAATGTCTTTCAGTGGTGAACATGTATTTCAGTCTGTTGTAAGCCTTCTGCTGTCACTTGTTTTGAAGTTTTTATTTCATTGGTCTAGTGGTCAGCATTCCTGGTTACAGATCTAGAGTTCCGGGTTCAATTCCGGGCGCTACCAGATTTTTTCATGAAGTAGTGGGTCTGGAACAGAGTCCACTCAGCCCCGTGATTATAATTGAGGAGCTATTTCAAGGAAAGCGGCTCCGGTCTAGAAAACAGAAATTAATGGCCCTGGGGATTCCTTGTGCTGACCACGCGAAACCCTCTATCCGCACTAAACTTCGCCGACAAGTGGCAGTCGCTTCGACGGTATAGTTCACTTGCGGACTAAAATCACGGAGTTTTTTGTGTTTACTGAACCAACAGAAATGTAAGAAGAAATGAATGAAAGTACCTTGGTCCAATGTGTCACAGAAGTAAAAGTGAAAGCGGGTCCAAATTTTAGCAACAAGCCTTTCAGTTCTGCTATTTTTAAATAATTGTTAAGCTTACAATATGTGCAATAAGTCTTAAATTAAAAACTGCCTCAGGCTTTTCTGCTCAAAGAACATTGTCTTCCTGTTTATTTATAAGGCACCATTTTAATCGCTTGATAGATAATTTTCATGTCATTGTGTTGGAAGCTGTTCTGGTCTACTTACTGAAGTGGATAAATGGAGTGTTCTTAAGTTTTTCAAGTCAAGCGGCCAGTTATAAACTCTCTGTCCCAAACATGTTTGGTCATCTATCCCAAACCATATTCATCTTGTTCATGTTCCCATAATTGAAATGTCATACCAAGTGATTGCTTTTTGGCAGTTCTTTTTTTTATATATATACAGTAGAACTTGGTTATAACGTCATCAAAGGGACCTAAAAATAGTGTCGTTATAAACGAATGTCGTAACCGAAATGGGCACTTCCACAGTAGCCTTATGTTAGTCACGTAAAAATCTACCAAAAACCGAGTTAAAATGTTGCATTTTTTAGTGAAATACGTAGTTAAGTACAGACTAACGTAACATTGACGTGGAATTGCCCAAATGTGTAATATCAAAGACATATTACAGCGCTTTTCACTGACAATACACACCGCACTAATACTGTATATTAAAGGTAGGCCTACTCCACAAATTACAGTAGATTACATCAATTGTTGTGCCTTACTGTACCTAGATACGAGTACAGTAATCAGTTATCTTCATCTGTTTCCTGTTACTTGCCCAATACACACTTTTAAATTACGTTCAATGTCCATATCAGAGAAATTCAGGAATGAAAATTACGTTACATACGAGGTTGATGCATTTGTGCATGTTGTACTAAGCAAGGTATAAAAACAGTTGCTTTATGAGGAATTGTTCGTACCATTGAATATTGACGCAATAGACAAGGTGTCGCAGAAACCGATGTTGCTATAACCAAGTTTTACTGTATATAAAGTAATGTAAAATGGTGGTTTTTGAGCAGTAGCAGTTCCTGTTAGCATTACAGTCACTTCTGAATTGCTCTTTGCCAGTGATTGTTCATTAAAACCGATCAGAATCTTTTTCTGTCAGCAGTTCTTCTGCTGAGTTACGTAATGTGACATTGAAACAGAATAAGCCTTAAAATTATTTCTTTATATTGTGCACTGACTTGGAGAAAATCCACAGTATTTCATTATTCATCTTGATTGGAGCACACTTTCTGTTTTAAGTAGCAGCTCCCAGAATCTTTGTATGGAAGGTTTTTTGAGTTGCTAATGAGCCTTGTATTCAGTATAGATTTATCAGTAAAATAAACTAAATGGTGTATACTGTACTTCTTTTGGCTTATTTTGGACTTCTTATTGTCTTTTATATACCAGACTGGACTCCACTGGACTCCAGCGATTGAGACTAGCTCTTTCTAAGGGGCCCAGCTGAGTAGGTTTATCCTTCCCTATCCACCTGAAGACGGAGACAGATCCAGTCTCTGAAACGTCGTGGTTTTTTTTTGTCTTTTATATACCAGACGATGGGTGAAGTCCAAAATAAGCCAAAAGAAGTAAATCAGCATTCTTTGTTTCCTTAATTAATATCTGTTATTGGGAGGGCAAATTGAAAAGTCTTTGCCACTATTTTTTCAGCCACAATAATACACATACAGGGAGATTAAAATACAGGCATCCACATAGTCACCACCCCGGTTCAGGCATTTATCCCATTGCACCACTAGTTTGGAGATGCCGCTGTTGTAGAATTCAGCCGGTTGAGTGCGGAACCACCGGCAGACAGCAGTTTTTGTGTCACCGGAAATGAACCCCTGGCCTGTCAGGAACTTCTTCAGTGGACCGAACACGTAATCACTGGGGGTAAGGTCTGGACTATATGGTGCATGGTCCATAATTTCCCATCTGAATGACTGCAGTTGGTCGGCGGTCCTGTTTGCCACATGAGGCCTGGCGTAATGGAGGAGAACCACATTGCCCACAAGAATCACCGGGTGTTTTTTCCTGATGGCAGCTCGCAGACGTGCGAGTGTGCCACAATAGCTGTCCGTGTTGATGGTGGCACCTCATGGCATGAAATCCAGCAGGAGTGGTCCTTGGCGATAGCAGAAGACCATGACCATCAACTTCCGTACGGATGGCGTTCTGTGGAATTTCTTCATGACAGGCAACCAGGGAAGTTTCCACACCATGCTCTGCTGCTAGGATTCTGGAGTGAAATGTAATACCCACATTTCATCTCCGGTGACAGTGAGATCGAGGAACCTTTCACCCTTGTCAGAGTAACACTGCAAATGTTGCAGTGATGTCATCATTCTCTTGGCCTTGTGCAGATCAGCCAGCAGCTTAGGCATCCACCTAAGTGAAACCTTGCAATACCCCAAGGAATTGTGAACGATTTCGTAAACACTGCCATATGAAATGCCAAGCTCCTTGGAAATGACCTTCAGGTGCACATGCCGATCCGCTTTCACTGTTTCATCCACGCGGACAATTTTGTCCGATGTGAGCAAGGTGCGAGATCACTCTAAGTGCTCATTGTCATTAAGTTCTTCCCGGCCATTGGTGAACTCTCAACACCACCACCACCACCGCACACTTAAAGTGAGACATTTGTCCCATACATCGGCTGCATTTCCCTATGGATCTCAGTGGGCGTTCGTCCCTTGCTCCATAGAAAACGAATAACACTTCGCTGCTCATACGACATGAACGTGTTGAGCACACCAGCCATCTTCGCTGACTGACAGCAGCGCAGTGCCGCGGAGCAGCTGAGAGTTAATGCTGGGCTGGTCCAAGCATACGCTGTTACATAGAATGTATAACCCAGTTACTCAATCACTTAATATTTTGGCTGAAAAAAATAGGGGTAAAGACTTCGATTTGCCTTCGTAAAATATTTGTTTTGAAAGATTTTTGATGCAGATGTGCCATTTCTCTCGACTTGATGTGGAATATAAAGAAAAGATACCATTATGATATCTGGAAATATGAAAGACTTTGCACTTTCCAAGTATTTGTTTCATGTTACAGTNTTTTTTTATTTTTAAATCAGTTACAAGTGCTTTCCAACAGTGATAGCCTAAAACAGGCAACCACTTTCAACACAATGAATATAAAGTGCGTACACCTGGTACCTGAACAGTTTTGCTTACAGTAAAATTGGAAAGGTTCCTAATTAATTCATTGTATACACAAAGACCATGAGAATCCATTACTGATGCTTTATTTTGTTTTTAAAAAAAATTCAAAAGTATTAAGTCATCAGTCTGTGATCTTTTGGAATAAAATAAGGTATAACTATTTGATATGGTTCATCCTGGTCTGTCACACTGGCGGTAATGTATAAGATTATCAACTCTGTTCAGTGTGGTTGATAAATGTTTTATTTTTCTTCTTTTTAATCTTTCATCCTTGATATGTTTCGGTTGGAGTGATCATCTTCAGAAGGACATATCAGTACATACAGAAACTACTATTACAGTATGATTAGTCATTACCAATACATGAAATATACATTGGCCACACTGGTAGAAACCTAACAACAAGATACAAAGAACACATAAGAGACATAAAATTTAACAAAGACAATCAGCATTCGCCCACCATATACTAAATAAATGCTACCAGTATGGACCCATGGAAATGGTTGAACATGCTAAAGGTGGGACCTCATGAATATAAAAGAAATCTTCCACATGTATCACTTCAGTAAACTTAATAATTTGAAAAAAGAGCTAAAACTTACAAAGTAGAGCAATAATCAGTATATTTGATATAATAAAACATCAGTACACACCTACACAAATGTCATGAGGCACAAAGGTTATAAATACGCAACTCAGTATATGTTGAGCACAGCACAGCCCAAACTGGATGACACTAAAGGTAGAATTATGGTACGATAGGCCAGAAGTGACCGCAGTAGAAGGGACTTAGTCCCACCGCACTAGCAAAGGGAGAAATAAATAAAAAACGCATGTAAATAAAATCAGGATTATGGAAATACTACATAATACCCATAATATATATGCAGAGTCATATTCGTCAAACAACGGAACCACAATGTGGTAGACACTCATCTTCCTTTAAAGAGAGAGAGTAGGCTGTGCCATAGCTCACGCGGTTTGTAGCTGGCTTCCCACCGCAGTGGACTGGGTTTGATCCTGGGTCTGGTCAAGTGGGATTTGTGGTGGACAAAGTGGCGCTGGGACAGGTTTTCTCCAAGTACTATGGTTTCCCCTGCCAATCTTCATTCCACCAATTGCTCCACAACACCCTCACATATCATCTGGGGCTGGTACAATAGGCCAGAAGTGGCTGCAGCACAAGGGACTTAGTCCCACCCCACTAACAATAAAAAAAGGAGAGTATAAAGGATTGATTCTAGATTTTAACAATTTTTTTAAACTACACTTGTAAATAAATTATAACTATTTTAATAAATTCAGGCACATTGCTGTAATTGTTAAAAGCTAAGATTTTATATTTATGACATTGTGATGGTATTATACGAGGGTTGGAACTTTAATAGTGGCAACACTGCTGTAGAGATGCCATGCGACGGAACCAAATAATGTCGCTTATACCACACGTTAGTTACAGACCTACCTTACCTCAGAGCAAATGGACTCTCCCTTCCCACATCATGCGCAGTGGTGAGAAGAACAGAGCTTCATGTTAGCTGGTGGTCTAATATAGTGTTGTCACAATGTTCGAAACAGGAACAACAGAGTTGGATAAAGATTGAATGTCTCAGAGGCCATGTAGCATGACAGTGTCATCAAGGTCTTTAGGAGGCTTGCAGGGAATCTGCATTGCCTTACAGAACAGTGGCAAGGTGGGTAAATGCCTTCAACGAGGGACCCCAAAATGTGGCAGACATGCGTCAGCCAGGTTGTCCTAGTGTCAGTGAAGAAGAAGTGTATGCTATTTCCGCGTTACTGGAGAGTGATTGACGCCATATGATTCGTGAGCTGGTCCGAGAGACGGGATTAGCGCATATGACTGTGCTTCACATTCTGAAGTAATGCCTGGGAATGAGAAAAATTGCATCAAGGTGGGTTCCACATGATTTTACGGAAATGCAGAAATGGCTATGATACGATGCTGCTCGTAACCACTTGGAGTGCTATGAGCGCAAAGGATAGGCTTTCTTACGCCGTATGAGTATCATTACGCTAGATGAGACATGGGCCAAATCGTACAAGCCACAAATGAAATGCCAATTGAACGAATGGCATCATTACTGGTCACCACGAAAATCAAAAGTTTGTCAGGAACCCAGCAGTGTGAAAGTTATGGTGATTCACATGTATGACTGTGATGGTGTTATCCTAACGCATGCCTTTCTCCGACAGCACACTGTTAGTGCGCAGTATTGCTGTTTATTTTTGGAACACAACCTGCGACCAGCTTTGAGAAAGAAGCGGCGACACTTTCTACAGAACCGACCAATCATTTTGCAGGACTGTTCAACCACATGCAGCACAAGATATGGCTGATTTGTTTGTTCAATGGGGCTGGGAAGTGCTGTACCGTCCACTATACTCCCCGGACTTAAGCCCTTGTGACTTCGACTTGATTCCTAAGATGAAGGAACCACTGTGGCATTCACTTCAGCACTGTTCCAGAGATTCTTCAGGCAATAGACCGTTCCATTTGAACTATCAACACAACCGGCGCTGCTAAAGGTATCCTAGGACTTCCACATTACTGGCAACGGGTTGTTCACAATGCTGGTGACTACATTGAAGGATGGTGAAACTTCGAAACATGTATCTATTTTGTATCATCATCATCAGTAATCTGTCAGACGACAGGTCCACAGTCTCTTCCAAAACAATTCCTCCACTTAATGCGATCTAGAGCTTTCTCCTTCAAATGACAGTATCCTCTTCTGTCCCCAAGGTCATCCAGCATCTTCTTACGTCTTCTTCCTTGTCTTCTTGTCACTTCTATCTGCCCCCTATATCTTTCCTTCAATAACTTCTTTTAGAAGGCAGTTTCTGTATAAAACATAACCAATCCAATTAGCCTTCCGTTTTCTTATTTCGTGTAGGATATTCCTCTGCTCACTGACTCTAATTAACACTTCTTCATTTGTCACATAATCGGTCCAACTGATCTTCTCCATCCTTCTCCAACACCACATTTCGAAACTTTCCCGATATTTCTGATCTACTGCCCTAAGTGACCATGTTTCAGCCCCATACAGAGCTATGCTCCAAATGTGGCATTTCACTAGTTCCTCAAATTTAAGTCCAATTTGCTGGTAAAATATTCTTCTTAGTTGTAAATAAATATTTGCCACTATTAAAGTTCCAACTCTCGTGTGTGTATTAATAATGACGAATCACCTAATAGTAGTTCCTGCGTGTACTAATATATCCTTCTGCAGATGGTCGCTTTGACTGAAACATGTGAAGGATGAAAGATTAAAAAGGAGGAAAAACATTTATAAATCACACTGGATGGAGTTAGTAATCTTTTATACTAAAGCTGTCCCTGTAATAATAGTCTGTGAAGGCCCATAGGGGAGAGGTCAAGGCTCCCACTTTTTCTAGACAGTCAGCTAAGAGATGGCAGTGAGGTTGTCAGCTTCATGTGCCGGTCGCCCTTTTNGGCGATCCCCCTTTTCCCCCCCCCCCCGGAAGATTTCTGGTACTTGTTTGTGTTAGAGGCTGAGGTGACCCCAGGGCCATGGTGCGGCTGGAAGGATTAGATCAGTTGAAAAATTCAAAGACCTTATGAGGAATCGTACCCATGACCTTCCTGCATGTAGCATGTTGCCTCAACCAGCTACACTCCTGTGTGTCCCTTCTTAATTTTAATTTTATACATTTCAGGATTGATGCCTAATGGCAGGAAACATTGCGTACAGTACCCAGGGTTTTAAGACATCTGCATGTTTACAGTAAGCTTAGTAGAGAATGGGGAAGTTCTCATTTTGAGAATAAGCCATCTCATAGTGTAGTCAAGGGAGGCCAGGAATGTCTGTGATATGGTATTAACTTAATAAATTTAAATTTTTAAATACCTTTTTGCTATTAGGAGGCAGTTACCCCTCTTATGATCATTCATCTGGCTATGGATCAGGACAGCAGCAGCATCATCAAGGAGGCTATCAGTCAAATTACCCAACACAGCCACCACCTTATGGTGACCAGAGCAGTGGAGGTGGTGGTGGGGGTGGTAGTGGCAGTAGTGGTGGTGGTCAGTATTCAGGGTATAGTCAGCAGGGATCCGGTGGAGGATACGGACAGCAGTCAGGTGGTTACGGAGGACAGCAGGGTGGTTATGGCAGCCAAGGTTATGGGGGTATGTATAATGTGTGGACAGACATGCAGCTGAGTGGTAGCTCACCTTGTTTGTATTTAGGAGGTCCCAGGTCCAAATCTTAGTCCTGAGGCCAGATTTTGTGACTTACAATGTGATTTTCTCATAGTAAATGCTAGTATATTCAAATTAGACTACTGTTGCTCGCACCAGCAATCAGAGGTACTTACATTGTCTCTTAGTAAACCAATTAAGTACACAAAGTGAGAACATAATACCCTATGTGGATCATTAACTTTTGTTGATGTTCTGTGGTGAGGTTTTTGTTGTAATCAAGGAAATTGGCCTTCTGTCCTCCCACTCAAAATTGCACACATTTTAGTGGTACTGCCTTCAGCCTTTATTGTCAGAGATTGATGGATGTTAAATATTCCAGTACTCTGGTGGGTAACCAATTTTAGCTTAACTGTATTAGTATTGAATAGTGCAGTGCTCAGGCACCAGAGCCAGAAGGGGTTCCTCGCTCCAGAGGAGAACAGTCCAAATTACTGATTGGTGTAATTCCTGTTTTATTCAAAATATGCGGGAGACAAGCTATTCTGATTGAGATTTTCCATGGACTTCTCTAATCACTCTAGGTGAATGCTGAAGTGGTACCTGTACTATGGCCATGGAAAGAGAGTGCTGAGTGAATAAGTGACTGCAGGGAAATAAGGGAATTGCGCCAGAAGGGTGGGCATTGTAACAGTTTGAGGGAGTTGTGAAAGGGTTTTATTCACGAGACTTACTTAGCTGACCCAACTTAGTACTGCATCCACTTTACCTGACACACAAGCTCAGCTTGCAGTGCCACAGAGTAAGTAGTTGAAAATTGTTGTTAAGTAAAGGAAGAATTTTTAAAATGATAACAAATTACCTCTCAACAGAGCACTTCGTGCAGTCCTGTGACATACCTGAATCTGTCAGTGTTTTAATTATTTGTGGTTTACTTAATGATGCTTGTAGTATCTCAGATTGGTGTTGAATGATGAGTGAATTTGAAAAAAAAAAATAAGACTGAAACAGTCATCCATAATTTGGGTTACTCTGGTCATTTTCTTGTAGGTACTGATGAAAGTCGTTAGAAAATTGATCTGGATAGCCAGTCTCCAGGCTTTTTGAACCCAGAATGTAGAATATAAAGTCTGTATTTATGTTAATCTAATGTAGTGATTAGTAGTTTCCCATATCTTTTTTCAGTTGAGTTAACTAATAATCCATTTTCAGAGGTTTGTTGCTTTTAGTGTGTTACAGACTACTTGATTGATTTCAGTGAGATCCTGTGTGGATGCTTTAATATCCTAAAAGGTGGTTGGGAATATATTTTTTTATTGTGTCAGTGTTCAAGTAAAATATAAATTTAAGTGGCCACATCAGAATGTTTTAGTGTGGTGATATATTATTAATACATTTGGATTAGATGTATAGTTTTGCTCATTTTCTTTCAGAAACTAAATGCTTTATCAAAAATTCACAATTTTTCAGGTCATTCTGGAGGTGGTTATGGCAGTAGTGGGTCTGGTGGAGGCAGGGGTGGCAGTGGTGGTGGCTATGGGTGAGTTCATTGTATAATACTCTGTAAAGCTGATTTGATATCAGGCTGTAGGAAAAAAGATTTAATATTTTTTTTGGACATAGGAAACAAGGTGGCAGAAATTCATAAATTAATTTTTTGGGACAAAGAAAATGAGGTAGCGAAATTATATGCAGTAGTCTGAGTGAGGTTGGTGGAATAATCTGTATCCCAGTATTCACTTTAATTCTGTGGTTAAGCAGGGAGGTATGCATAAAAAAAGATTGTACAGATTACATGTGCTCAACTGGGAGAATGTTTTTAGAAGTTGAAAGGAATTAATGCAGTTAAGACAGAAATCCTTTTGAAGTCTTCTTAGTTTAATGGGTGACATGATCTGTACTTAACACAAAAGTTACATGTATATAAATTATAATCAACTGGTATGTAATTTATACATGTCTTGCATATGAATGTTGACATAAAGTTATGTTTTGAAAAGCTTTCATCTTCTATGATTTGAGTACTGCAGGCGTTGGCTTGTAAATGTTGATGGTTGGTGATGTATCAGAGTACATGCACATAATTCTTTTGGTTTATGCCACCGTTTGATTTGATAGGTGAGAACCAACAATGTAGAGGGACATACTGTCTTCATCCTCACAGTAGATGTGTGGAAGGAGGCAATATGTTGTGTCTAAATGTTTATTTACCCCCTACCAGATTGCGCTCCGTCCATAACCCAAAAGAGCACACAATATGAATTCACCACTGTAAAGACCTCATGTTTTACACATTCACATATTAATGTGATTTGCAATCTCAAGATAGTCATAATAGCTGTCACAGGAGATGGTGTGAGAGATGAAAGTATACCTGTGTGCATTTCATGACGTATTTAGTTTTCTGAGAATATTGAAATTACCTGTGCAGGTGAGTTTTTTTTTCCTTAATTGAGGATGGGTTCAGGATTTTGAGGGTGGTGTTGAAATATGCTCTGCAACGTAAACAGTTGTGTTGTGTGAAAAGTTTGGAGCTGGTTTTGTTCAGTTTACATGCTGGGTTAACGTCAGTTAAAGCAATGTGTAGTACATTCTAAATGTATACATGGAAGGTTAAAAAATACTTACAAAAATATTCTCCTGGTTTACTGATTTGTTGACATATATTTTAGGTAAGATTTGTTCAGCTGTATTGTGTTTTCTTGCTGATAAAGTTTTGTGATACCATTAATGAAAATGGTGTTTTCTTAAATCTCAACAGGTTCTCATAAAAGATTAATGTATAGTATATTTGACGTATGACAATGTGTTAACATGCAAGAGTTTAATACAACCACAGGAGCTCTTTTGAGTGTGCTGTAAATTATTAAATTTGGAAAGAGTGTCTTGGTTTGAGAATGTGTTGTATGGGGCCATTATTTCATGCAAGCATTACTCTTATTAACAAAAGGTTTTCTGTACACAACAGTTATTGGAGGGGAGATTATATGACTTAGTAGTTAGCCATGTGTTTTGATGTTTGTGTTATGAAAGTGAAATGGGTGTAACTAGACAAAACACATTTATTTCTGAATTACTGAGCCCATTGTAAGTATGGGGCTATACATGGTACAAAGGTTAAGATGAAAATGGTTTTTGGTAATATGGTAACAGATATAAGAAGTTTATGATATAAAATTTTATGAGGTATTGAAAGGTCTTGAGAGTACTCTTATGTAAATGATATTGTAAATGAAAGGGGCTGAAAAATTTTCACCCCTGAAACTTGTGAAAGAAGTCTTGTGTGAAATCAGCACCTTGGAGTATGACAGTCAGTGAGAATCCTATAGAAGTTGACATGGACAATCATCCTAACTGCTGTTATGACTTGCCAACTATGTGACATTCCCTATTCCTGTAACTTGCTCATAATGGTTAAAACAGTGTGAAGTTATAGATTGTGGTCTTTACAATCTGTGCTTAATTGCTGAGAGCACCTCAAAATACAGTGAGGTTAGTTTACTTCAGGCATTTTCCAAAATTTGTTTTCTGCAATTTTATATGTCTGTCAGCATGTATTGTCAATGTGTACTTGAATTACATAAAGAAACTTGATAAGTCTTGTTCTTATTGTTACTATTGTTTTTCAGGTAAGAATATTAATCCCAATTGTCTCATTTCTAATTTTGTTACCCCTATGCAATTGTAAAAATAATTAATTTTGTTGTCAGGCTTGGTCATGTATGACCATATCTTATTACAGTTTTATTTCCCTTGCAGATGCATTTTGTCTTGTCTGCTATTTTCGTTGCCACTTAGATCATGGCCTTAAGAACTTCCACTTGTATGATTTGGAATATCCAGCACCCCTCTACATGATTAATACTCATACTAGGGCCATGCATATAATATTTTGTGTTAACTTGTAGTGATCAACAAATTCTTGCAAGACTGTTAAGACCCAGCTACTAAATCTGAATAATAAATACTTGTAATAAGTATTGCCTACCTGCAGTGGAAGTCTGATATAAACCATGGTGTGGAAAAAGTTTGTTTTAATCATAGTACTCAATCATAATTTTTGCTGTGATGAGTGTTTTGCTCTTGTTATTTCTGTTGGCAGACCTCCTCTGTGGTCTGGTGGTCAGAGTTCATGGCTACAGATCCAGAGGTCCAGGTTCGATTCCTGGCACTACCAGATTTTTCTGAGAAGTAGTGGGTATGGAACAGCCTCGTGAAGATACTTGAGGAGCTGTTTCAAGGAAATAGTGGCTCCGGTCTAGAAACCCGAAACTAACAGCCATGGGGATTCGTTGCGCTGACTAGGCAACACCCTCTATCCGCTAAAGTTGACATTAACTTCGCCGACAAGCAGTGGTCGCTTGGTATAGTTTGCTTGTGGACTAAAACCACAGAGGGGTTTTTTTTTCCTGTTGGCAGAGAGAGGGAGGGGTATGAGAATTTTCATCCCCTACCCTTTTAGTAAATGCATTAGAGAATAACTGTTAGTGCAGCACAAAAAAATAAAGCTTTTTTTTCACAATATTCTGATGTCCTCATGGAAGCATGTGCCCCACTGTTACACCATTTGCCACCCTTTCCATTCTCCCCATTGACCCAGAAGTGATATTATTTAGGGCGAGGTGGGTAGATGGACAAGTCTAACTTTGTTGGGCAAAGTGCAGTATGTATGTTGAGAGTTATTCCCAACATATTTCTTTTCTCTTTGCCTCTTGTGACTGTTTACACCAGTCTTTTGTGATGCTGTGTGCAGGACGGGTTCCCCCACTTCCATGCCAGGAAAGACATGGGAATGTAGCTGGTGGAACCAGAAGTGACTGAATGGTTTACTTTGAACACAGTCTGTGTGAAAGGTTCTCACTACCTTAGCTAATAAAGAATCCACCATCAAATCTACCAAATACTTTGATGCCTTTATTAACCTTTGCCTGTCATGCTAATCATACCATGGTCTTTTAAATGATATTTGCAGACTGCCTGTGTTCCTTATTACTACTATTCAGCATCCTCCAACAAGAAACGTCCAGAATAAATTATTGTTGTCTCGTACTTTCTTGGAAATATGTCCAGAAACTCACCTTATTTATAGATACCACATACTTATTTGGATTTAGTGTGGTGTTCTTTATTGTCCTCAGTTGTTTCTTGGGGGGGGGGCAGGTGCAGCAGCACAGTCTGGAGAAATGAATTGGCCATACCATTGAAGTTTATATCAAGCCTAATAACTTGGTGTGTATGTTGCAAACATTTGGCAGTACCCCTCACTATTTAATTTACAGATGTGTTCTTCAGCAGAGATTTCTGTCCTAAATTTGGGAATGATGTAGTATATCAGATTAGCAAGGGCTCTAAGAGGAGACAGGTACACATGTAATGTGGAAAGAAATTCATATATTTTGTGTACAGCAAGTTTTTAATTTTGCCAGACCTGTTATTTTGAAGGGATTTACAGAATTTCATCGAGAATGTAGGAAAAAGAAATTCCTGGTGGGTTGTTTAAACTAATTCCTAGCATTATGTATGTTTAATAATATCTGTCTGCAAATTAGTTCTGTTTCTCAACATTGTCTGCATATAGCATTATCTGTCTTGACTTACTGTGCTGTTAGTAGCAATAGGCTGTAGTACAGTATAAACATTTGGCCTGTTTATAAAAACAATACATGGCCCATGCTTAGGTGTCATGGATTAAGGAATGTGCATTCGTTTAGTTGTGATAACAATAAACTTTGTTGCTCTGAACTGAAAAGTATTTTTAGGTTGATACCATTATGAGCAATGTTACCATGCATGAACACATCCACATACCCAGTCCTTTGATTCTGACTTGACAGTTTGACAAGTTGTTGCATTGGATAGCTGCAAGTTTGTAGCCAGGTGGTTGCAGCAGTGACTGCAGTCGGCCCAGGTTCACCAATAAGCCAGCAGGATCAGACCTCACACTCTACAAGCGAGAACACATGCACATCACGTACTGATTCAGTGTTATTGCTTCTGTTTTAGCAGTGGCAGCAGGGGTGGTTTTAACAAAGGTAAACGCACCAGGATACAAACCTGGTGCCACTTAATTTGTTTTAATTTTTTGGATTCCTGTTACTACAAAGTATGGAGGTTTGTTTTCACTGGTTTAATTACACGTGCGTCATTGCCATGTTGGTAGCTCAGAAATGTATTGTAAATGGAAGTGCACTTTAAGTACATTATTTGGTACTGAAAATGTATTACTTAGGTCATGTGACATTGAACGAGGACTTTTTGGTACATCAGTTTTCTGTTTATCAAGAAATTAAATTCTGAATTTAAAGTAAAATGTACTTTGTGATTGATGGAGAATACCAGGTAAGTTTTGTTGCCCGATAAGATTGTAATGAGTCTAATGCTTAAAAGCTTTATTCAGCCCTTTTTTAATATAACAGTGTCGTCTTACACAGAGTGTTCAGTTGAGATGGAAACATGCTCGCGGTGATGCAGCAGCCTGGTTTACTGTATTACCGTAGAGAATGCAGGGCAGAGCGCTTCCTTGCTGGCAGTGTTGATTCTGCTTAGAACTTCAATACTGATAGCTGTTTCTACACATAGTTATAACTACTTTAATTGACCCCCTTATGCCTTCATGCATATTTTGCAGTGCATATACCAGAGCTATACCAGCGGTAGCGTAGCTACTGGCAGGGCCTCCCTTGCTGGACAGGTCAAAGGGTAGGCATCAGATGAAGAGAGACACCAAAAACTGATGCCGGAAGCAGCGTCATCAACAGCGACTTGAAGCACAGAGCAAATGATGCTCGACATGGTTCAATTTCGTATAGCAACAGGCGTGACCAGAGTGGTTTGAACGGCTGTTGTACTGCGATGTGGAAAGCAAATGGAAAAACTACCACATTATCACTTTTCCTGGATAGTCTCTTCCCAAAAACAGAAGATCGCATTAAGTGGAGGAACTGTTTTGGAAGAGGCTGTGGACCTGTCGTCTGACAGATTACTCATGAATGAAACAAGTTTCGCGGTAGTTTCATGGAGTTCATCCTCAGAAATATGAGGAATTACATGTCTTGTGATTTAAGGATTTTCTTGACTCCATGTTTGGTTTATGTGCAGGCATAACTAATGGTGTGCTGTAATGATTGTAAAGGAGGAAATATTGCAGAGTCACAGACATTATAGTATGTTTTGTCTAATGTTGATAAGGTGGTGGTTAATTCGCTAGTCATCATAGTGTGGTTGGAACCAAAATGTGTGAAAATTGTATTTACCCAGATCTTTTTATCTTTGTGTAAGTTTGTTGTTATTGCAGTGAGGTATCCAATTCAGCAGTTGAGTTTTCATGGTCAGATCCTTCATAAGAAGTATGATTTCTAGAAAGTGTATTCATTGTTCATTCATGAATACAAGAATGAGTTGTATGTATCAAGGCTTATCATAATGTGTCAGGCCAAGGGTTTAGTTTGTGACATACATCGAAGAGAAATGTTATAAGTGAGAAGAGGTTCAACTGTGCAGGCATAGTATTCACACATTATTAAAGATGCTTGGAACAAGAAACTGATGTGTCATCGAGAAATGCATTCACAGCCACGAGACTGGTTAAATTTCAACTGTATTAAGTAACAGTTTTCCATGAGCGTAACCAGATTATGCATTGCTTGTTCATGAGAGTCATGGATCTGTAGGTGCTATTTGTAAGTGAGAAGAAAGACCCAAGGTAATGCAACAGCATATACTGCACACAGGTCCATGTCTGCTGTATGTGAAGTGGTTGAGAATGAAATAAGTAGCAAAGGACTTTGGCCTCCTAGGTCCCCTGATCTTTTTTGCTCAAAATTGTGTCTTTGGCAGCTTGAATAGAAATATGTATAGGAATGGCCCTCTTACTGCTGAAGTTGCTACAGTAGACTGAAGTAACATGCAATTTACTTTATGAGTATTTGATAAGTCTATGTCAGTTCTTAACATTAATCAGTATTGAAGTTCAATTAAGCAGTCTCTCTGTCATGCCTCTATTGTCGCACATTAAACTACTGCAGCATGTTTGTGTATCAGTTAATCATTCTGTGTGTTAGTGTTGGAAATACGTGATTTCCTCCCCATTGCCCTTCTGTATGCTGATCATCTGTGTACGTCATCACACGAAAGATGAATGTTCGTTGTATAGCAGTCATCCCAAATTTTATTTTATGTACTTCTGTGAACAGCTTTATTTTATACTTCACATTTAAATGTTTTTCTTTGCTTCCAAAATGGAATTGCAGTGTCATTAAGCTTTAGTGAAAACAGGCCACATGAAAGGGCTGCTTGCATCTGACTGGTTGTATTGCATTTCACATTATTGAATGTAATTATATGATACCATGTTGCAAGATTATATAATAATTTTTTGCTGTTATATACTGTTTTAGTATATTTAGTCTGCATTCAAGTGGATCTTCATAATGGTAATTTTTTAGTTTAGACATTCATTTTACTTTTTTTTCTTTTTTCATATATCTTGCACATGATATTCATCTTGGCCTAAAATGGGCTTTTTCAGGCCCTGTGATTGGAGTATAGCAAGTGATAGAAGGTTGTTTCTGTGGAAGTGTCATTGTATTACCGGTTTGACAGAAAGATGTGATATTGACCTCGGTGGTTATTATAGCTCCCCGTATTGGAAACTTGGTAATGAGAGCAGTCAGATATGAATGTGGCTCTTTCATGTTATCCTTTGATCAACCATCTGGTTCAGTGATCTTGTTTGTGCGAGCATATTTACCGACATAAGCACATAGTGATCATTATTCACTGTTGCTACAGTAGGGTGTGCTGCATACTTTCAACCCCTTGTTGATTGAACACCAGAGCCCAATGGCTGCTGGCATATTTATATGGTGTATGGTGATAAGCACAAGAATAACTTTGGTTAATGGGTAGCACAATATGGATTGAATCCAACCAGAAGGCATAATCATGGTGTATGTGTTATCACATTGTGTACAGTCATGCAACTGTTGGTGATGAGTTTATTTTATTGGGGTTGTGCTGATGTTTACAGCAAGCATTTCTACACAGTTCAAAGTAGCAGCTGTTGTTGAAGGAGATGTCAAGTCTTTTTGGCCTTGTAAATAAGTAAAAACCATTCAAAGAAAATGTGTAACAGTTTTAATTTGGAAATGTTTTTGGAAGGTAATTTTGGGTAAACATAAAGGTAACAGAATTTCAAAAGTTGATTCAGCACGGCCCTAACTTCTGAATTAGTTCAAAATTAAAAGTTGGTATCCATGATGAATGTTGGAGATGGAAAAGTGAGTATTGGAAGATTGGATAATGCACTTACGTATATTTTACTTCCACTGTGATGCCTGCTGTATAATATATGGACTTCTAACATTGTGCTGGGTACTATGATCCCAAGTTTGATGTTATTAGGTGCCAGCAGAATTAAATCTGAGGTTTCTCTTGTCTGGAGTATTCAGACTTTGTTAATGTAGTAACTTGTTGGCACCAAGAACCCATAAGGATGATTAACTGGGGGAGAAGAAGAATGCATGTAGGATTTTGATGGGAAAGCCAGAAAGACCACTGGGGAGACCAAGATGTAGGTGGGTGAATGATATTAAAATGGATCTTAGAGAGATAGGATTGGGTGGTATGAATTTGATTGATCTGGCTAATGATAAAGACCAGTGGAGGGCTGTTTGTGAACACGGTAATGAACCTTCAGGTTCCATGAAATGTTGGGAAAGTCTTGAGTAGCTGCACAGCTGGCAACTTCTCAAGAAAGGTTCAGCTCCATGGAGTTACTGTTCAGTGGTCACATTGTTCAGCACTAATAATCCTGGAGATGTTAATTAAAAGAAACGTGTTAATCAGGTTGTGCAAAATAAAGCATCAAATGACTGAATTAAATTGACTGTCAGAAGTGTAAGGTGGTCATATAATTATGGATGCATTAAGTGAATTATGTTAATATATATCCACTGACAGTTGAGGTGCAGAACTTCAAATGACATGGGATTTGTAAAGATATTTATGATTCTCACATGAGACATGTAGTCCAATTCCATGTATGCATTGTCATGGTTATAATATGACCATAGGGTGGATCATTTGTGAATTTGGTCATATATTGTAGTCAGAAGTGTATTGCATGGTGATAAATATTGCCTTGAAACATTCACAAATGGAAATGATATATAGTCCTAATGCAGGACATGCATATGGCTTGTATAATTTCATGTGGAGTTCAGAACTTGACCACATGTCCATCATTGCTTTAGCAGGTGGACTGTTTGGTGGGTGCTGAAGCTTCAAGTAGATAATAACAAGTTAGATGTGTAAAGCCATAATGAACTGTAGGACTAGTACCTTATTGTGACACGATGAATCAGTGAGTACATGTTTTGCAGGTTACGGGGATCGGGGTGATATGATTACACAAGAAGACACAGTATTTGTGTCAGGAATGTCACCTGCTTTGACTGAAGATGACATTCAGCAACATTTTGGTGCCATTGGTGTTATCAAAGTAAGTACAGTGTGATTCAAAATTATTGTTGAGGTATCTGGCCTATAATTTTCAGACTGGAAAAACAAAATAAAACTGCTTACAGAATATTAAAATATGACTTTAAAAAACTTTTGATTGGCAATGCTGTACTTGTATTGATGTCCGGGAGAAAATGGCGGTTATCTCAAAATGGTGACTGCTCAAGAGAAAGCAGTGTGCATAGTTTGGTTTTTTGAAATGAAGTCTATTATCAAGATGCAACATCATCAGAGAACTCAGTATGGAAAAGATCCACCTTCACATAGTGATATCCATCGTTAGTTAAAGCATTTTCAAGAGAATTGTAGTGTTCTGCACTGAAATGGGTGGGAAGACTAAGCACTTCACAGGAAGGTGTTTATCGAATCCAGGAAACATTGTCTTGGAAGCCCACAAAGGTCAACTAGACTAGCTTTACAGTTAGGTATACCACTGATGATTGTTGGAGGGATGTTCATAACTGCCTTCACCTCCATGCCTGTAAAGTGCAAATTGTGCAGGCTTTAAAGCTGGATGATAAACCCCATCATATCCAATTTTGTTACTAAGTGAAAATTACCTTCAGAGATCGATATTCAGTGATGCAGCAACGTTTTACATATCAGAGAGGGTAAATTGTCATAACTGCAGAATATGGGGATGAGGAAATCCTCACGCCATTGGAGAAATTGAAGGAGATTAATTTGTTCTGAACGAATCATGTAGTACTTTAATTACATCAGATCATTAACTCTGATCTGTTTGTTTTGTTGTAAGGAATAATGCAGATTTAAAATGGCCTCTGTAAAAAGAAAGTTACAGTAACCAGTACAGTGGTATATAATAAGTTGCTTAATTTTCATAAACTTCTAGCAGGGTGGTGAATGTTCTTTGGAAATATCTGTTGTTGTTTCGTGACATGATATGCCCCTTTCTTTTTCTCTGTATGTGTGTGCGCACGTGTGCTCGTTTTCCTTAATAGTGTTCCTATATTGCAGATGGATAGGAGGTCAGGAAAGCCAAAGATCTGGATGTATAAGGACAAGATTACTGGAAAACCAAAGGGAGAGGCTACTGTTACATATGATGATGCCAATGCTGCAAGATCAGCAATAGATTGGTTTGATGGTATGTTGTGTCATTGACTTGGTGCACTACTGTTTATAAAAATGCAGAGCAAGTAGGAAGTATTAAATGTTTCTGTGGCATTTCAGGAAAAGACTTCAAGGGATCCATTATTAAAGTACAGATGGCACAGCATAAGAACAATTATGTTGGTGGACGTGGAGGACGTGGGGGTGGCCGTGGGGGTGGTGGTGGTGGTGGCGGCGGCGGCATGGATAGAGGAGGTCGTGGAGGAGGAAGGGACAATGTTCGTGTTGAGAGTAGTGGAGGTAAATAGCAGCCAGGGTTCTATTTTGCTTACTGCAGTTGTTTCTTTAGAGGCTGTCTGCATCAGCAGTTCTAACTAATGTAGTACAATGAAGTCTCAGCTGTGTTAAAATACAGTAGAACTTGGTTATAACGTCATCAAAGGGACCTAAAAATAGTGTCGTTATAAACGAATGTCGTTGTAACCGAAATGGGCACTTCCACAGTAGCCTTATGTTAGTCACGTAAAAATCTACCAAAAACCGAGTTAAAATGTTGCATTTTTTAGTGAAATACATAGTTAAGTACAGACTAACGTAACATTAACGTGGAATTGCCCAAATGTGTAATATCAAAGACATATTACAGCGCTTTTCACTGACAATACACACAATATTTCACGAATCACTTTAACTTTCTCTTCAATGCTTAAAACTTTCCTTTTCATTGCCGTGTTTTCGCTACTGCACTTCTCTGGGTTTAGGCAGGAACACTATAGGGTAAGTAGACAATGTGAGGTCGTGTTAGACGAGATTCTAGGAAAGGAATGCAGTTAACCTGCCGCGTCCTCTTGCACTATTCATGCGGTCCCACCCCACACCCTTGTTTTCGCATAAAACCCACGCTCCTCTTGCAGCCCGCAGTCGTATTCTTCCAGGACAGTCACGTCAGCAAGTAGAGAAAGTGAGGGTGGGCAGACACATTGAACTTTCCCACGATATCAGAGAAATTCAGGAATGAAAATGACGTTACATACGAGGTTGATGCATTTGTGCATGTCATACTAAGCAAGGTATAAAAACAGTTGCTTTATGAGGAATTAGTTCGTACCATTGAATATTTGACACAATAGACAAGGTGTCGCAGAAACCGATGTTGCTATAACCAAGTTTTACTGTATAATGGATTTCCATTCCATCTTGCCACAGCAGACTGAAGGAGAGGCTTATTACATTGACTCATTGTGAAAGCTTCAAAATATGAGAGGCAGTCAAATGAAAATAGGTCAAAAGCCAGAACATATTAAAGAACATTTCTTACCTCAAACGTAATCTCCAAAATTGTTAATACATTTATCCCACTGGGAGATAAGACGATCAGTCGCGTCCTTGAAAAAGCTTGTGGGCTGTCTATGGAAGCACATCTTTACCCAGCAACACGCGTCTTCGTCCGATGCAAACTGATGTCCACAAATGTCTCTTCATGTCTCCAAAAATGTGAAAATCACATGGGGAGAGATGTGGGCTGTAGGGGGAATGTTGAAGCACTTCCCAACCAAATCTCTGTAGCGCATTCCTCACAGAGTTGACAGTGTGGGGCGCGCATTATCATGAAGAAGGATAACGCCGTTCTATAGCATTCCAGGGCGTTTTGACTTTGTGGCACGTCTCACTTTCTGCAAAGTGTCTTCATAGCCTTGTGCACTGATTGTGGTCCCATGCTTGAGAAATTCAACAAGCAGATGGCCCTTGCAGTCGAAAAAGGGGGTCATCACTATACCAGAACTTGTGTGTACCGCTTTGAATTTCGTTGATGGTGGAGAACTCACGTGTTTCCACTGTTGGCTCTGCCATTTGCTGTCGGATTCAAAATGGTGGCATCAGGTTTCGTCCCCACTGGCAATACGGGACGGGACAGAAAAGCATACTCTTCCTCATGGTATCGTTGCAAGTGACTCAGTGATGCAGCCATTCTCTGAGTCTCCTTTTCCTCTGTGAGTTGATGTGGAACCCGCTGTGTGCAGATTTTGCGGTACAGGAGGTAATTTGTCACAGTGGTGTTTACGGAACTGTGACTTTTTCCCATCTAAAGACTAATTTGTTCCGCAATGATCCGTCGGTTTGCCTGGATATGATCATCCAATGCAGCTATAACATCAGGAGTGATGACACGATGAGCCTGTCCTGGGCGAGCATCACCTTGCAGTGACACATCCTTCTCAGAATCTCTTATGCCACGCCAGCACATGTGAACGTGACGTGCTGTATATGCCGTAAACAACAGAAATGTGACCATGAATTTCTTGTTGTCCTACTCCTTCAGCAGTCAAAAAGCGCACTATACTTCGCAGTTCTTTATCTGCCTCCGTTACTGATGTTTGATGACCACACATAGCACTAACCTTACTTCCAGCACAATAAACAAATGACTAGTGTGCAAGGGCGTGTCACTGTGCTTGTCCGCACCAGATGTTCGTACCGTAAGCAAATTTTATTGTTACCAACTTGCATGCTGTGTGCGTTATGCGTGGTGACCTGTTTTCATTTGACTGCCCCTTATATGTATATATCAGGCATGTAGTAACAGGAATGTAATTCAGGTTTTGGTCGTGATGGAGACTGGAAGTGCCCCAATCCAGAATGTGGCAACACAAATTTCTCATGGAGAACTGAATGCAATCGCTGTAACCAAGAGCGACCTGAAGGGGTGGGAGGTGGAGACCAACCTGGTAAGTTGTGAGCAGAGAAAGTTTTTGTACATAGCTTCACGATCATGTTTGAAATGTCTCCCAGCATTGTACTCCTGCAAAAGTTCAGATTTGAGAGTATAGTAAAATAGTAGAATTTGGTCCCCGTTCTTTGCCCTCGTGTAATTCATAACAGTACATCTGCTGTATGGAGGGTATAATGTAGAACAAACCAAAACCCACATTTGCAGAATTAAAGATTTTATCTGCCCCTGTGGGCAATTAACATTTACCTCTCACAGAAGGTCTTTTAATGTAACAAGGTCTTATTTACACTTACATTTTTTTAGAGTCAAACGCTGGCTGTAAAATGTCAACAGAACAGTGTAAAAGGCATAGGTTGTGTGATTTGCTACTGATAGTAATGTGTCATGTTTAACTGCTGTACCAATTTCCAAATGCAAAGTAGAGTATGAGGTGACAAGAGAAATATGAACAAAAATTGTCTGAAATCCCATCACTGTGTTTGCTATCCAGTGAAATCACAATTTAGTGTTCCCACATTCAGTGATCGGGGCACACAGTAGCATAGTTGGTTGAGGCACTATGCTACAATTTGGAAGTAATGGGTTCAAGTCCTGATGGGGTGGATTTTTTTCAATTGACCTGATCCTTGCAGCCACACTATGGCCCTGGGGTTGCTCAATCTCTAACAGAAATGAGTACCAGGAATATTCCTGGGGGGGTAAAGGGCAGTTGGTGCGTGAGGCTGACAAACTTACTGCCATCTATGAGCGGATTGTCTAGAGCAGGCATGTTAAACTCAACTTGTACAGAGAGCCACCTCAGCCCTATAAATAATAGTCCAGGGCCGCACTTCAAGATAGAAATATGCATTAGATTTTGATACAAGGAAATTTAATTCTATTTATTATTTAGGAATAATTTCAATATAATTACCTAAAGTGGAACACTTATATTTTGCCCACAAATAAAACGTGTAATTTTACCTTCTATTTCACAACAGAAATTAGCGATTTCCCATTTTTTCTTGAAAAACACGGCACTCACTTTCAGTGGTTCTTTTTTTGCTACTTGAATTTTTTGAAAGCAACATTGCCCTTTAAAAGTTACTGTAAATATACAAGAAAACTCGTAGTTGATAATTTCATCTTTAATTATAACCTTTATACGTTCATCACAGTGTAACATCAGCACCTGTCGCTGTGTGAAAATGAACTGAATGACAATGTACAAAGACTACCGGACTAGTAGGAAGGTGTATCTTGTTTCAATGGTCATAAAAGTGAAAGTTTGCTGGCAGCCCATTAGACAGTGACTGGGGGTTGCAAGCTAGTTTTGAAGGTAGAAATCCCTTGCACTTGCCGGTCAGTTGCCACCCTCCTTGCATTCTTACTACACCTCCAAAAGGGATTCTTGGAAATACTTGGGGTGGTGAGGCTGTGTGGATTTTAGTTCATTAACCTTTTGAAATACAGTAGTTTGTCCTTCATGAACTTTACAAACCGTTAGTTGGACAAACCCGTCTGCAATTCTCAGGATCACTTCCTGCAGCCTGCTAATTTATGTCTGCATGAGACTTCTTGTCTTCTGGTCTGTTGGAAAATTGTCTTTACAAAAAATATTTCTACTAAAATTTTTAATATCAGTTAGCTCTAAAAGTTGAGGGGCCGCATGTTTGACATGGCTGGTCTAGAGGAAATATGGGAGCCTCAATATCTCAACCCTATGGGCCTTCACAGCCTGTTACAGGGATAGCTTTACATTTAGTGATTATTTCTTGTGATCCAGAGATGCACAGTTTTCCCATTTTTAGTTCTGGTTTAGTAAATAAGAACATTTAGTGTAAGAAGTTTTCAGCCATTTAGAGCTTATCTTTCAGTTTAGCATGATTGAAGTCAAAATATCTGTCTATATAAATGTTTCCTCTTTGTTAGTAATAGTCTGTAGTCTTGTTTTCTGTCTGCTGTAAATTGTTATTGCACAATCATAGCTGGCTGATAAAGATCTGAATCATGTATTCATGAGATCAAACATGGCATCAGCCTACCATTCTATAAAAATATCAGTGCAGCTGTTTAAATCTTGGATGGAGAAATGTCTCTTGGTATTGGTTTACCATCAGTCTAGAAATCTGAGGAAAGAATCTGGTCTCTGTAGGTTCACTTTCATCCATCCTACATCTAAAGAGTTTGTTGCTTCTTTGCTAAGCTACCCCTCCCACTTTAGTTTTTTGCTGGATGTTAGATTGCAGTTACGTTGTTTGAGTGGATGTACACGACATGATTGTTTAAACTGTAAGTCTGTAGATAGTGTATGCATGATTATTGTGTGCAATGGTAAATTTGCATTGTGTAATACAGTCACATTCTTCTTGTTGATGGTGCAAGGAAATAATGTTGGTTCAGGCAGTCCTATCCTCTATGCTGACGAGTGGATCTGAGAAAGTGAATTCTTCCCATGTGGTGATGGTTTACTGTTTGTCACAGGGTTCAGATATAGCAGTTTGTCAATTTTCCTTCATTTTATTGTATCACATGGAGGTTCATGGGAAGACTACCAGTGGGATTGTGTATGCATTAAGGCTTCCAGTATGGGGATATGTAAGGGAAAAGTTTACCAATTAATTGTGTGTTTGTAGGTCGTGGGGGGCGTGGAGGTCGCGGAATGGACAGAGGAGGTTTCCGTGGCAGAGGTGGTGGAGACCGAGGTGGCAGAGGCTTTTCCCGTGGGGGAATGGATAGAGGTGGACGGGGACGTGGTGGTCCTATGCGTGGTGGAGGGTGAGTTACTTTTCATTTGTCCATGTAGACTGTTTCAGTGTCCTTTGGCTCTCAGGACTTTCTGCCTAATATTATGCTTCTATTACAGTGATCGTGGGCGTGACAGGCCTAAGCCATACTAAACCCATTGTTGATGTTGGTGTTTAGTGGAAGGAAAAGCAGTATGCAGTGGCAAGTAAAAAACCACACCAGCATATATTATGCTAAGCAAGAGACTGTGTCTACCAAACATTTCAACTTTTTTTAATACCTATATCCTTTTGTATCAGAATGCACTTGAAGTCCATCAATTCTCTCTGTAATGTGTAAAATGTATATTTTGTGTGTTATAGTTTCTTTATAAACATTAATGACTTTGTGATGATTTGAATTTAGATAACAAATAAAACTGCACCCTCATCTTAACATTTAATTGTATATCCTGTTGGAAGAGCAGGTGAGTATCCTGAATGACATATCTTATAGTGAAACATAATTACTACTTAGAACCAGCCCATGGTTCCCAGGGTAGATTATCTTGTGTATGTATTGTTACAAGTTAGCTACTACAGTCTTGAGAGCTTGGATCATATTCCACCCTGGTGCCGCTAAGGACTCTTGATGCTCCACACCCCCCATTCAGTCTGAGCACCATGTTCTCTTTTTTTTTTTTTTTGCATGTTATAAATGATTTATTTGCTAGCATCATTGATCCTTGGAAACAAGGGATTTTTAAGTTTACTCACAGCATAGCAGCCAGTGAGCCAGAATTAATGTATGCATACATGTTATTACATATTCAGTTCTCATGTTTTGCACCTAGTACATGCGTTACAAATGTGAATGTTTTTGCTGCATTTATTTAGCTCCATTATGCTCATTCATAACCCTGGAGAGAGCTCCTATTAACGTTGCTCAGTTTGTAGGCATGAAACAACTGGAGATCTTAGGAAATCTGATATGGAAGAATTTTACAAAACAGCATGCCAGTTCGATGAATTGAAGATGTGCTTTTCTGTTGGTTTTAAGTATCTACTGGAGATACTACACTTTTGAAACAAAAGCTGTAGAGAAGATAAAAAAAAAATCTGTTTGCTAAACTTTTCCCATAAGACAGCTCTTTAGAAAGAAGGGATGCTATGCATACATTTCCAAACTTAATATTCAGCAGTCAGTCATGATCTGAAGATAATTGCACTAGAAGGAAAAAGAAATCTTACTTGATTTGGGGCATATTGAAGTTTATGTATATAATTTTCCGTTTGTGTGATGATGATGTAATACTGATTGTTTATTCATTTAGTAGGCCTGTTGAAGTAGTTATGGAACAGATTTATTTCAGCGAAAAAGCTGCAAATGGTAAGTCCCATAAACAACCAAGTGGAAGGAAGTAGACTAGTTACATAGCTGAAGACTAATATCGAGACATGTTTTGGCCAAGTTCATTCCATGAATGAGGAGTGAAAAGATAAATATTGTGTTTGGCTTCTGACTTGAAACTGATGAAAATTCATGAGTGGTGATTTCCAGGGATGAGCAAAAGTCATTGGTGACCAATTTCACTTCTTTAGTGTGTAGCAAATGTTCGGGTGCAAGTGATTTGAGGTACTGTGGCGTGTGGGTGGTAGAGGAAACAATAGGAACAAATCAATTGTGTGCACTGAGGGAAGGTAAGAGCCACAGCAGGGTGCCAAAAATAATACTGATTAACGTTTTCTTTTAGCACTTTTTCCATTGCTGCTCATGAACTAAAGTTAAATGTAATAGAAGACCATCCTCATGTTGCACCTGAAAAGAGTGAAAAGCAGAACTGAAGCACTGATTTACATAATGTATGTGCCACAGCAAATGTGTGAAGAGTAGATTTTTGCATACATTGCTGTTAACCACATTCAGGATTGAAGTAATAAATATCAGATGCTTGAAGGGTTGTAATTTAATTTTAGTATGTTTGGTTTTGTATACAGGAGAACTGGCACAGATATTTCCAGGAATTTGCCATTGCTTAAGCATTGTGGTTTGAATGCAGTTTCCTCAAATATTTATTCTTGGTTCAGGAGTTACTGGAGATCTGATTCGAAAATGTATGCGTTATAAAGAGTATTTAAATTTAAAAGATTTGTTTATTCATTGACAATTACTGTGATAGAAACGAATGAGGAAGCCGTTATACCATTGTACTCAGCATTTCCATCGATGGGCTGTGAAAACAGGCACGCTATGATGGAAGGCGATAGACCTACAGTCGAACCGGTCGAACCCGACCCTCAGTTATAGAGAGCGCGTTCATGTGTTATTGAAGTTTAAATGGGGTTAATTAATGTTGTATTTTGGCGTCCTGTTGCACTGATTTTCTTCCATGATATATATACAGTCGCCGTCTTGTGTCTTGTAGTGCACTCAACACTCGCAGCTAAGAAGGGAACACACACCACGAGACATGGTTTACACAGGCATAAGAAAAACGACCCCCATAGTGGAAGAACCACACGCAAGTTATAATTATGACACACAAGATGAATAATCTTAAGTTTTAGTGTGTGTAAATTTATTATAGTTGACAAATACGCACTTTTTAAATAATTTTATAAAGGCAAGCAATGAAATAGATTAGCGTAATTAGGGCACCTGATGGCACTATGTTGCCGAAACATGTCGTGAAGTAACAGGTGAAATTGAGTGCACTACAAGAGGGCAACTGTATATATATCATGGGGTTAATTACCTAGGTGTTATTGGTATGATCTGAGTCATCGAGATCAATTGCATTATTCGCAATAAAAATATGCGGAAATAATTATTTGGGTAACTCAGTATACAGTTCCATGTTTTACAAATATCTGAGTAAAATCATAAATGAAAGTATGGTTACAATTTTATGTTTTAGTGCGAACTTCATTCCTTTTTCCACCACCACTTTCAGTATAATATGTCGTAATTTGGATCTGGATCTATTTCTAACAGCTCTGATGTGTCTAGGCAGTGTTTGTATTTTGGCACGCTCGTCGCCATGTTATAATAGATGTGTTACACAAAAACATTGTACGCACGTGGAGGTGCTGTGTGTATTTCGGCGTTTTCTTGAAAACTGTCGTTCTTTGAAAGGTACCTGACGTTAAAGTAACAGAAGGTACTTTATTGCCATCAAGAAACATTTCGAGTAGTGGATTGTTGGTAAGTAGAGCACAACGAATTAACGTTTTTATGTATTTCACCACTATCGTTTCAGCCATGTCGTTTGCGAAGTTGGCTGTGGCAATTTTATTTCCAGGCTTACAATTCTCGGCAGGTATTCATATGATTTTAATTAAAATGCCCAACTTATTACTTTTACCGTAATGTTATTTCTGCATCCAGTGTTGAGTGCGAAGTTTTCAAATAGGTGGGGGCGTGACATTTTACAAGGTTTAGTACCCAAACATGTTTTAATATAGTGAAATTTTGTTATAAACGCTACTGAGTGTGATTAACCGTGTGTACTTCTAACAGTTTTCCGGTATGTGATGAAAGTGTTGTTGCATTAACTTCAACTAGCCACTATGTGCGAACAGTATATTACTGAAAATAATAGTTTGGTTTCATTTGCTTCGATAGCGTTGTAATTTGACGTGATGCAGTGTTCCCTATGACAAATAATGAACGGCTTCTTTGTCTTTTATGCCAACGTGTTATTTCTGATTCCCCACGAAGTCCTGATTAGAGAGTGACTGTCATAAGAACTTGGTTATGTAGTTACTCTGTGGAATGAAAGAACGATGTTCTTGACTGCTTACAACAAAATCTCTGAATGCTCCAAATCATGTGCATTGTATGTGTCACCTATTTGTTATATTAGTAATATTGACGGGTTTTGTCATTAGAATTAATGTTATTACAGAAAGTTTTGTACTATATGGATGACACATCTGTAAGCATTTTCTGACAAGCATTCATGAATTATCAGTACTTTAAAATAATTTTTTAGAAAGGCGCTGGTTTTGTAGCACCTTACATAATGTGCACTTAGTAATAAATTCTGATATAGATGTAGGATTTGAGGTTCCCCAAGACTACATGGTATTGTGTCAAGAAAGTAGAAATCATCTAACAGCCATATTTAAAACAGTCACTCATTCAGTAGTCATATTACCAGTTTAGAAATTTTCCATCTTTAAATAAAAGCTTCAGAGTCCATGACCGTAAATTATGATCTTCCATTTAAGTAGTTACTGGGACAGCCTCGTTAGTTGTTTACTGCTGGAGTTTAATAATTGATTGTGCCAATGTTAGAAATGTTAAATTTGTAATAGAAGTTCACTGCTGTTTGGCTTCAGTTGTATAAAGTGGGAACTCATTACTTAGTATGTATGGTAAGGGGAGTCAGGAATACTGCATCCTTTCTATACAGTATATGGTGTGGAATAATCCCCCCCCCCACACACACATTTATTACACAGAATCTGCAATAAATGTATATGTTCAATAAGTACTGGCTTGTGAATGAGTTTGCTCAGTGGCATAACTCATATGCAGTTGTCTAGTAGGCTCACTGCTAGTGCATTAGTGTGGCTTTCTAATTATCTGAATTCTTTTGTATTCCAATTTTTCTTTTATTTAACTGAGCACTTTGTTCATGGATCCTGTAGCTGTTTATGTAGCAAGGTGCATTCAGAATGGATCATTGTGTCTTGGATTGAATGGAATAATTTCAAGTGTAGAAGTGTTTGTGGGTGTTAGTAATGTAGTGATGAACTGGTTTGTTTCTTATGAGAAGGGAATTTCTTGACTGGGTAGCTACTAACATCAGTACCAGTACTCTGTTAAGGATTGTAAATGTTACATTTTCAATGCTGCTATAGTGAAGTTTGTGTTTATATTTTATTTCATAGTTTATGTTATGAAGCTGTCAGTATCTCAGACAGTATAATGTTGAATGGCATGATGGTAGCTGAGTAAGGAATTGAATAGGATGTGGAAGGAAGAGGTCATAACCTGACCAAAGTGCACTTTGCCTGTTGGGAGTAACGAAAATCATGAGCAACCACCATCAGGATATCTAGTGTACCTGGCAAAATACAGACCATGTACCTGCCCTGAATACAAGTCTAGAACATTACTATTAGAGCAGCTTGTCTGGTATACATGCTGGTAGAGAATGGCAAATAGAGTTATTGTGAAGTGTAATATTGGACATGCATGGAACCATTATTCTCCTGTACAGTATGTTCCGTAGTGAAACCGACAGACTTCACCATCAGGTTTGGGAAGTTATTCTAAGCAGAAAGCTAATATAAAGCATGGGTCGATTCAGCTTTGGTATTGTGATATGGACCAAAATGATTATTTGCCTTAGTTATGGTGTTATTGACTAAAACACCCATTATGATTGCAGTGAGCAACCTCCCACTGCATTTTTTTGTGTGTTGTTTACCGCTTGGAGGTGGAGAAA